ATAGATTTTTGAGGTTCTGTGGTTTATATCCTTCTCTAATTTATATCCATTATCTAATACGTTTCTGCAATCCCCAGAGCCTGGTTTGCCATACTCTACCGAGTGGTTAATAGCCTCTGGTTTGCTATTTATTGCTTCTAATTAACTGCTTGGATCACAGCCTTCAGGTATTAATTTAGTACCTGATTCCTTGAAGTTTTAGCCACAAATTGCCTGGCCATACCATTCACTCTCAGCTCTGAAAATGACTACTTCAGCACAAATCACTGTTTCTACTTGTCAGATGTTCCAGAAAAGGAAAATGGCAAGGGACACTGAAGTGTGAAGTCCCACACAATGTGAATGTGGCTTTCTTGTGATTCCACTGCTTAGGAACCTGTAGTTTCTATACTTCCTGTTATACTAAGTCTAAAACCCTCTTCCGCAGTTTATTCTCCCCGCTCCAAAAACAAAACCCAACAAAATAAAATCCAGTTCCACCTATCCAACCCCATTTCCTGTCCAATTAAATTTCAATAAAAACTTTCCTTAGAGTCAACCAACAAATCCCTACAGTCTGCTGCTATTTTCTTTTTTTGGTCAGTCATGGGGCTTGAACTCTGGACCTGGGTGCTGTCGCTGAGCTCTTCAGCTCAAGGTGAATGAGCCACTGTGCCACTTCCAGTTTTCTGGTTGAAAGTCTCATGGACTTTCCTGCCTAGGCTGGCTTTGAACTGTGATCCTCAGATCTCAGCCTCCTGAATAGTTAGGATTACAGTCATGAGCCACTGATGCCCGGCTGCTATTTTCTAGCTATGTGACTTTAGCTATGATAAATTTTCTGTGAATCGGTTCCCTTAACTTTATAAGTAAGTATAAAAGCAGTATCTAAAACACAAGGTCCAGGATTAAAGTTAATGTGGATAAAGACTTAGAACTTTAGAGCAAGCACTTATTAAACATTAGCTCTAATGACTATTACTAGCAGACTAGAGCCATGCAGGGTATAGAGATAACCTTAGATGCACCTTATTGCCTTGAAGAACTTCTCAAGTTAGAGGACAATGAACGATGTATCACACATAGCACATGGTAGACACAGGAAGGACACAGGCAGAAGAAGGACCTTTACCCTCTCCCTATGTTTTTGTCCTCTCTGCCTCTTACCCTGCTTTTTCTCCAGATAGGAAAAACTCTGATCTAGTCTGAGCTCAATGGTGAGAAACTCACTGACAGAACCATATTTTACAAAAGATCAGATCACTATGCTTTAAAGATAAACAATCATAAATGGCTCTTCTTCCAGGACAGTTATGTCCCCAAGGGTAAGCTAGTCACCATCATCCATGTGGCTAACTGAACTCAAACTCAAGATCCTCAAACCTGGCCATCTTAGCAACAGGGGCAGTGATCAGGAGGTTTTGCTTGGGACCCAACCCTAAGCCAACATCCTATTCACCTGTTTGTTTTTCCCAGAGAATCTAAGATAGTCTGATAGTCTGATCATGTGAGGTCCTCACAGAAAGCCACAGGAGTATAACATTTGAGCACTAAGAGCATTTGAGATCCAAACCCTTGACCACAGAGAACAAAGCAAGCATGATGGGGTTAAGCAATGTGCTACGGAAGAATATCTTTTCCTGGAGACCCATGAAAGGAGGAGGAGAAAAACCAGAGAAGGCCTCCTGAACGAAGTGGCATTTGAGCTGGAACTTCAGGGATGAGTAATATAGGCTAAGACAGTGGAGAACCCAAGAATCCTGAAGACTAGCTTAGTGAAAGCAGCTCTAATAATGACCATGTGGGGCTGAGAGACACCAAACCAGCCAATGCTTAGCCCCAAAATTTGAAGGCTTGAAATTCCGACCCCCACCTCTACTATGCACATCCTCTTTTTCTTGTTTCATACTACTAGGACAGCTTGTCAAGGGAAAGTAAAGTTTGTTGGCTACTGGAAATCTACCTTGAGTAAGCAAGGAGACCATCACTAGAAGGGGACACACTCATCTTCACTGATAGACTAGTTTAAAGGTACAATTTCCACCTTTTCACCTGCCCACTTGCTCCAACACCAATCACCTTGTGTCCATTGAATCCATCCTAGGAAGACTACCATTGCCTGTCATCCTGCAAGTCCATCCACGACTTTGAGTCTTCATGCTACTGGGCTTCACTGTAGTATAGGGTACTGTTTCCAGACACATTCCTTTTCTTTTCTATTCTTTTGCTGACTTTAGGGGCTTGAACTCACAGCTTGGGCGCTGTCCCTGAGCCTCTTTGTGCTCAAGGCTAATGTTCTACCACTTGAGTCACAGTGCCACTTCCAACTTTTTCTGAGTAGTTTAATAAGAGTCTCACAGATTTTCCTGCCAGGGCTGGCTTCAAACAGTGATCCTCAGATCTCAGTCTCTTGAGTATCTAGGAATACAGGTGTGAGCCACCAGTGCCCAGATGCTGACAACTTTTCTTTTGGCTTCTGAACACCTTTCACACCTAGTTCATTTTCTTCCTCTCCAGTTCTTTTTCATCCCTTTTTAAGAGACTGACAGTGGTGACTTTAAGAGATCTTGGGAAAGTCTTTATTCAGGACTCATGACAGAAGCTCAGGGATAGGGTAGACAAGCACGGGTGCTGCCCAACCTCAGGCATCCCAACCAGCACCTACCAGATGGTAACAGGATCAGAAAGGAAGTGGAACTGTCAGAGAGGAGAGAAGAATGTAGAGTGGAGGGCAGGGAAGGGAAGGGTGAGAGACAGTGGTGAAAGGAAGTCTTCCAGCCAAGGGTGCTGATGCTTGCTGTATCCATGATAGATGTTTGGGCACAACACCAACAGGATTATAGGTTGGATTTAGAAAGGGGAAGCCAGGGTATGTACAGAACAAGTAGGAAAAGCAAGCAGACAAACCAGGTTGCATACACACATGGCAGGCCCTGACGCCCACAATGAGGTCATCTCCCCTAAAGTTCTTCCTCTTCCATCTCACCAAAGGCTTTCATACAGCCCAGATGATTAAATGAAGTTGTTCTTGGTTGCTATTCTCCACCTGATGTCAGAGTTCATAAAACTATACAACTGGCAGTTCATTCTCTCTGGATGCACAGACTGACTATAGAACCTGGCTTGTTTTTCATTTAAGTACCCGTGCCCAATCAGAGAAGATACTCTTGTATGCCACATGCAAGTCATCCGGCATACGAGGCTGGATGTGTGCAGAATAAATATATATTAGCTACTTTCAGAAACAGATAGATGTTTGAATACTTATTACTTTTTAGGGTGGATGGAGTCTGCCCTCCTCCCTCCATTTATTCCTTTCTCCCAGAGTTGCCTGGCTAGAAGATAGTATTTCCTACATTCCTTTGCAGCTGGTTCATATGCCAAGGAAGATGAACAGCAGTGTTTTGCACAACCAGCCTAAAAGCTAATACTTACCCTGAGCTTCTTTTTATTTTCTTCCCCTAGTCTTGAACAGCAATATGCAAACCAACCATCTTCATCTTACACCACACAGATGAGAATCAAGTCTTAGGAAATAGTGGAAAAAATGGGAGGAAACTAGGTCCTTGAATGACACCGTGGGACAGTGTCTCACCCACCCCAGATCAACCAGACTCTAACCTGATGAAATGCAAAGAAAAACAACACAAAACCCCTCATAAGCTCCTATATGATGGAGTGTCCATTTCACTGGGGTTTGGGGTTAAACTTCTATCCGCCAAATAAATTTCCCACAATCCTTCCTTCATTCCTTCTTTACTCTAATACTTTCAATATTCAATTGAGTCTATCACGTCTTGGCTAAAAGGCAATCCTTTGTAAACTCCTTTTCACTTTGTGTGTGTGACCACAGGACCAAGTAAGAACTGTTAGATGGAACTTCTAACAGAATTATCTCTTTAGAAGGCAGCTAGTGACCATCTTCTTCCCACTTCTTCATTTCCATGGTCTTGAATGAAAGAACTTTGGCTAGAATTCAAGTGATATTTGGGACCATGAAATTACATGCTAAAAATGGAGCAGAAGAGTGGAACTCAAGAGTCCCTGAAAGACCAGGAAGCTGCCATCAATTCTAGATCGTCTACTGCTAGATACGTATTTTTTAAGAAATGAGAAAGTCCTATCTTCCTGAACTATTAACATTCATCGGTTGCATATGACTAAACCTAATTCTAACAGATACATCCATGAACCGAGAACCACATTTCAAAGTCCAGTTAGATTCTTGGCTCATCCTGCTTAACAGAAGTGAAGGAAACCCACGACTTCTCCAAGTTTCAGACAGAGGAGACCCGTTCCCATCTTCCTGCACGGAATCATCCGTTTGCCTTCTGTGCTCATTGAAGCAGCTCGGCGGGGAAGCTGGTGGCTGACAAGCCTCCAGTCGCTGGGCCCAGATGGTCCCAACAATGGTGGCTCACACCAGGGAACCCTAAAAGCACGGTGAACAGAAGTGATGGAGGAAGGGAGATGTGACCCAGCTCTGGTGCCGGCGCTGTCAGCACCATCGGGATGGGACGCCGGTTACTGCAAATTAGGTCACTCCAGACGGCGAGGAAACTGGGCAACATCGCTGGTCTAAGTTGAGGTTTCTTCTCGGTGCAAGCTTCCCTGAGCTCACGCACCGCCCCCCCCATCCCGGACAGATGGTGCCCCCCACCCCACCACCCTGGCAGGGACGGTGGAAGCCAAACGCTGAGAAATGGGGGGGTGGGAGTCCTAGCTCCAACACCACCCCTCGTCCACAGAGATCTGGGTGGCCGCTGGCTTTCCCCCGGAGTCAGTCTCCCCCCCCTCACCCCCCACTCCCTACCTCCTCCCTACCCCTTCCCCCCACCCCCTATCCCCTACCCCCACCCCCACGTGGGAAGCGGGCAGCAAGGACCGACAGCTGCTCCAAGCCCTCGCCTCCCCGCGGCGAGGACGGGAGCAGTGCGCTCCCCAGCCCGGCCCTGGCAGTGCACCCTTAACCAACCCCACCCCGGCCTCCGCACCCCGGATCTCCCATCCCGCAGCCTCACCCTCCTCCGACAGGTAGCGCAGGTCGTAGAACTCCCCCGCGAAGGTGCCGTAGGAGGAGTCGTGGCGCGGCACCGCTTCGTCGGCGCCCGAGTCCCCCCGCACCCGGCCCCGGGGACCCCGACCCCCCGGGCCCGCGCCGTCATCCGCCGGGCTGGCGATGCAGGAGGCTGAGCCCGCCAACAGCAGCGACAGCAGCAGTGCCCAGGCGCCCGGGCATCGCCGGGCCGGCTGCGCCATCGCGGGCTGCGCACGGATCCCGCAGCCAGGCCGCCGCTCAGGGCCGCAGCGGGGGGCGCCGCGGGCGCGGGCGCGGGCCGGGACCGAGCCGCCGCCGCCGCCGCCTGCACGCGCCCGCGCAGCCGCGGAGCGCCGCCGCCGCCGCCGCCGCCGCCGCCGCCTCGCCGCGGTCTGCGCAGCCTCCCTGCAGCCCGGCCCCAGCCCGGGTCCTCTCAGCCTCCCTCCTTCCCAGCCGCTTCCCGCACCGCGTCCCGATCCTCCGTCCCAGCCCCTTCTCTCTCTCTACTCAGGTTGGGCCCTTCTCGTCCCCATTACCTACAAGGGGCCGGCGAATCAAAGGCACCCACTCCAAACACCGCCAAGTGGGGCTTGAACTCAGGGCCTGGGCGCTGTCCCTGAAGTTTGTGGTTGTGGTTGTTTTCTGGTCATGACTGATGCTCTACACTCGAGCCACACCTCCTCTTCCAGCTTTGGTTCATTACAGATAAAAGTCTCTCAAACTTCCTTTTCCCAGCCTGACTTTGAACCGAGATCCTCAGATCCTCAGCCTCCTGCGTAGCTTAGCTGGGGTTTACAGATGTGAGCCACTGCTGTCTGGCTTGTACGACACCCAATTTCAGAAAGGCCCCTCCAGAATTTACTCTGGACACACCTGGCCAGAATTGTTGTCTCCTTCACCTTGAACTTGGACTTTTTGGTTGAAATAAAGCACTACTAACTAAGCCTATTAATTCTTGGGACCACCACAAAGAAAAGAGACTTGTCATCACAATCTCCCGCTTTATAGATAGGTAAATTGAGGTGGTCAGAGCTAAAGAGAAAATTAGGATTCTGCTCTTGGAGTGTGTTATCAGTAAAGGCCGCTTTTGCCTAATCGTAATCTCTACCCTTGAAACCGGGCAACTACCTCACTTTGTTTCCCCAGCAACAAGCAAGTGCAGGCCTTGACCGGCCTTCCCATGTTGATGACCACGCTGAATTCTCCACGCTTGCAAATTCAGTGTTGCCACTTACAATTCACTTTATTTACTCAGCCATCCATTTTTTGACACCAGGCACAACTGGACACTGGGCCCTAGGGTTCTCTTCTGATGGAGTGGGAACAGATAAACTGTTAAGGGATGAGGACACAATTCTTTTTATGCTGATACTGTAGAGCCAACACTTGAATCTGATTTTCCTGTTACTTTTTTTTTTTTTAACTATGGCCAGAGAGAGTGGCTGATTATGCCTATAATCCTAGCTACTTGAGAGATTAGGAAGATCCCAGTTCAAGGCCAGCCAGGGCAAAAGGTTTGAACCGACTCCATCTCAAGCACTAAAAAGCTAAAGCTCCATCCCAGCTGTCATCATCACCATCCTGTCATCCCAGCTATGTGGGAAACAAACAGGATTGCTAGGGGAGTAGTTCAGCTATAGAATTCCTGCCTAGCAAGTGTGAGGTCCTGAGTTCAAATCATAGTATATAAATAAATAATTGGAAGATCAGAGTCCAGACCTGCCTGGGCAAAAAGTGGGACTCTACTCTTAAAATAACAAGCCCAAAGGATTGAGTGTGTGGCTTGAGTGGTGATCAGTAATCACCCATGAATAATCTCCATGAAGATTAAGACAGTTGAGGTAAAGAGCAATAGAATCCAATGCAATCAACAGCATAAATGAATGCATAGAATTATAAAACATTAATATGCAAAAGGAAACAGTGAACCTCAACCTTTCATGGCCCAGTTGGCTGGGTGAGAGGTGGACCACTGTTGGAAAGGGAGGTTCATTGAGAAGCTCAAAGGCCAGGGCTCTGCTATTGGACAGTTGATGGAAGATTGCCCAATTAAGAGTGCAGAAGTAATCCTTGACAGCTGAATCAAGGCACTATTCATGGAAACCTGCCATGAGTACAACACACATTCCTCATCTAGCTGTATCCTAGGTCTGTAGAGATCCCCTGTTCCCCACCAATATGAATCTCTTCCATGGCAAGGAACTATTGTTTTTCCTGTACATTCTGAGATGACTGGTCAAACAAAAGAGCCAGCTATCCTAACAAGAACTTAGAAATGAGCCAGAGTTTATTTTAAACTTTAAAAGAAAGTAGGTACTTCTATTTTGTCTTTGTCTTCTCAGAATCTCTCTCCCTCTCTTCCTCTCTTTCTGTCTCTGTCTCTGTGTCGATTGTGGAATTTGAACTCAGGGCCTGGGTACTGTCCCTGAGCTCTTTTACTCAAGGCTAGCACTCCATCACTTTGAGCCACAGCTCTATTTCTAGTTTTCTAGTGGTTAATTGGAGATAAGAGTCTTATGAACTTTGCTGCCCAGGCTAGTTTTGAACTGTGATCCTCAGATCTCAGCCTCCCTGAGTAGTTAGGATCACACGCCTAAGCCAACAGTCATTTCTCTTTTTAAAAGAAATGGAAATAAGTGTTTGTTTTTTTTTTGCTTTTGTTGCGGTTTTCTTTTCCCTCTGTCTTGTTAGTTCATTTACCTGCCTGAGGGTAAGGGGGACACAGAAATGGTGGGACAAAGGGTGAAAAAATGCCGTAGTGATACTCACTGGACACTATATTGAAAATGAATCATACAACTTGTGGGTAGGGGCAGGAAGGAAAACTAGGAGAGAGTGAGGGAAGTTAACACTGTTCAAAAGGAATTGTACTCTTTATCTGACTTATACAACTGTAACCTCTCTGTACATCACCTTTACAATAAAATAAAACTGCATAACAAAGAAAACAATACAAATAACATTTCATAATGGTAAAAATGTTTTTTTTTTCTTACTAACCCAAATCAGGCTGCATCTCAGTGTCTGACCAATAACAGATGTGTCCTGCCTCTGACTACCTGATGTAGGTCATTTTTCACCTTGGATTTTATAAGAAATAAAAGCTATGATCTTGGTGGCTCATTAAACAGGAGTGGTCATATAATCTGGCAATCTAAGAAAACTAAAAAAACCTATGTTCCCACAAAACTTGCACATAAATGATTATGATAACACTATTCATAATAACCAAAAAATAGGAGGAAGCTAAGAGCTATCACTTGATGAAGGGACAAAGCATGGTATATCCATATAATGGTATACTATTTAATCATAAAAAAGAAATGAAGTCCTGATACATGTCATAGCATGGATGAACCTTGGAAACACATTTAGCAAAAGAAGATAATCATAAAAGACCACATATTATATGATTCTGGTAACATGAAATGGCTACAAAAACAAATCCATAGAAAGAAATCCACAGACAGAAAGTTGATTAGTGGTGGCCCACAACTGGAGGCCGGCGGGGGAGGAATTAGACAGTGGTGGTGTTTGCACAGCATTGTGAGTCCATGAAAAAACACTGAATTGTACTCAGTAAGATGATCAAAATGGTGAATTTTATTTGATTATTTTAAAAAGCTGTGATCTTTGAGATGGTGAAAGAAAAGAACAATGACATCAAAATATCCCTGTACTATTTGGGGAATATAAAATTCTCAATGCATCCTGGTGGGATCTTCTGAATGCTCAAGGACTTCCTTTTCAAACATTTCAAGCCTGAGTATCTTCTATGCAGTTCACAATCCGTAAGCCCTGAGGTAGAGGACGCCCAGACTCTTGCAGTAACCCATCACCCCCACCAGGAATCGGTAGCCACAAGTTGGACTCAGCTTCAGAATGATTATCTGAGTTCAGGAGGTTTTCTCCTGAACCTAAAATGTGTGTTGTTGTGACATTATGGTGCTGTTGTTTTGGTTTCAAGTACATGAAACTGGTGAAGCAATTGTACAATTGCTTTTAGTCGCTGTGTATTGACCCAGTACAGAGTTTCCTACCCAGGTAACAATGCTAGGCACCCATCATTCATTGGAAGTAAGCAAATAACCAGGACAAATAGCTTCAACAATGGAATCCTCGAGATTTTACTGGTCAGAGGTGAGCTGCCACAGGTACTGGGTTTTCATATACAGTAACAGCCAACTTATTTGTGCTCAGACTTCCAGTGACATCACACTTCTGAAACACCTGTGAACCCAGGGGGAAGTGAGGACAAAGCAGGAGACTCAGAGCTCCTGGGAAAACAGCAGCCAAGAAGTTCATGCATCCCTCCTCAGAAGCAAAAGCAAACCTGATGACGATGAAATACAAAATATGTGTTTCCTGGCTCCCCAGGAGACTTCAGTGTCTCTTGGAGGTTTCCACTATAGAGCAGGAGGTGGGAAGTACACACCTCACAAAGCAGTGTGGAAGGGGAAGAGGCTGATGGATTGCTAGGAGGTGACAGCCTCATGTTCTACAGGAACACATTTTGTGTTGGAAACATGAAAGAAAGGCTAGCTGACGCCATTTTACAAGTACAGCTGGGAGTGTGCCAGGGAAGGGGGGTAAAGACCTCCCCAAAGTACAATTGCCTCAAATAGTTCCACTGATAGAGCCGACAGCAGTAAAAAGCCATGAGTGGAAAGAGCATCATAGCCTATCAAAGGCCAAGCTAAGCCCCATACTTCTTGATAGTGCCTGGTGACATCACTGAACCATACCAAGGTACAAAAAGGGCTCGTGTCTATAATGATGACCATGGTTCACCAAGAAAAGGTTAAATACTCTCCAGTATACTAGTTACTAAGGCAGGCAATTGTGTAATACACCTTAGAAAGATTTCCCTCAAAAAAATATTAAAATTTTAAAGAGTCAGCACTTAAAGGGTTACTCCTTGGTTATCTGAATATTTGCTATACACCTCACTTACAGCAAAGCTAGTAAATGAAGCATTGCTTTTTTTTTTATAGTCATTAGTATCAAATTATTGGCACCATTCATTTATAAGGAAAGGGACAGGAGAGCAAACTATATAAAACAACATAAAAATACAGTTCTGGTACAAATGTATGAGATCAATTCCACTTAACAAGCCATCATAAGAAATGAATGGATGGTTTACACACAAGGAAATACAACTAGTAAATCATCACATGGAAAAGTGCTGAGCCTTGCTAGCAATTAATGAAATAAAAAAAAAGTCTCAAGAACTATACATATATATTAAACTAGCAAAAAATAAATTAAAATGGCAAAACCCAACACTGGCAGAGCTATTGGTAAATACAAATGCTTATACATTGCTGGTGGCATCATAAATTGTAGTGGGGATTCAAGCATTCAGGGTGGTAAGGGGTTAAACTAGATGACCTTTAAGGTCCTTCCAACCCAAAGATTGGTTCTTTCTAGAAAGCATTCTGGCAATATAAAACAAGAGCTATAAAATATTTCATGCTCTTTGACCTTATAATCCTTCTTTGAATATATTCCCAAAGAGAATAATCCAAAGGAAGGAGCAGATTATCTTTTTTTTTTTTACAAAGACATTCATAGCAGCACTATTTATAAGAGTGAAAAAAATGGATATAACTCAAATATCTAGTAATGAGGAAAAGTGAGATTAGTCATATTCCATGGGTATAAAGACATTTAAGTTGGTAAGAGTAGGATCTGTTAAGGAGCTAAGTGTTAGGTAGGGAAGAACAAAGAGAATGTATGCACTGATCAAAGCTATGTAAAAAGTGTGCATATTCACTGAGAAAGCTAGGGGAGTAATTTAGAGTTAAGTTTGTGGCTGGGGGTTCCTTTATTCCTGCAAAGTTGTTCAAATGCATAATAAAAATTTAAAAACACATCTCTTGAAACTATATAAAAAAAGGAGTAAAGTTTCTTCTGGTCAGGTTTCTAGCAATAGGACAGGAATTGATCAATTTTCCTTTCTGGAAAATCCAAAGGAATCTTCTTGATATCAAATCCTCCTAATCTTGTAAGAAAATTTTAAATAAAGTAAGCTAGAATTTCTGACTTGGGGTCCAATGGTAAATTCTATTTCTTTAACAAGTTCATACATTCTTTTTTCAGATTAAGTGGAAGGACTTTCCTGTTGTGGTAATATGAAACTTCCTTTCTTTAGTTCATCTACTCAAGTCTGAATGAAAAGAAAAGGCTTTATAAGATCTGGGTATTTATCAGTGTAAATGAGAAAAGCCATCAGTAAAGAATTATTCTCTCAGTACAAATGATCCTTTTAACAAACAAAGCTTGGTGCAAGTGTCAATCAGACAAAATCACATGGTTGAGATTGTTAGCCAAAGATTCCATCTGTTAACCCCTGTGGTTATTGACAGATGCTCCCAGATACTTCTGAGTAGGAATTTCTGCTTTCCCCTCTGGCTACTCCTAGACTTACCAAATCCTGTCTCCATTATATTGAGCAGTAGCAAACATCTAATGCTCAGGAGACATAAAATAACTTTTCCAACAAAGTTTTGCCCCCACTGGGCTTCTGCTAGCTAGCTAGCCATGGAGACCTGGGCGAACACAGCACACACTGTGTGCTGTGCTCCAGTGAGCACACAGGGCCCCGAGAAAGGAAATGGACAGAAGGCACGGTGCCATCTTCCAGGCGACAAGAGGAGTGTCACAGTTCAGTCATCAGCAGTCTTTTCATCATTTTCTCTCTCTCCAGTTCCTGTCGGAGTGTCTCAGCACTGAAAAAGAGCAATTAACAAAACAGTGAGACAAACTCTCAAAACTTGTGGACACCCGTACAGCTTAAATGTCACTCCCTTCTCCAGGGTTGTTTCTGGAGCTTGGTTCTTGACTTGCATTTTCAGACTCCTAAGGACATTGACTAGCTTATAGTGGTGTGAAATTATTTGGCTAGTTGTGGACTGACTACTAGTCAGTGGCTACTGACTACTAGTGGTTTCCACACTAGCCTGGGGATCCCTCGGGGGACTCATTTCATATCATTCATCTTTAAAATTCCAGATCCTAGCACAAGATTGAGCAGCCACTCGTTAAAAGTCTCTACAGTGAATGAGATGTCTAGATTTCCTTAAATAATTCTTTCAATTCACTCCACATGCATTTGTCACAGAGTCTTAATTGATTAATGTCCGAGGTAATGTCTTCCATGCATTTTGTTTAATGACTAAAATGCAATAAATTTGGCCTAGGGATATAACTCAATGGTGGAGCACTTACCTAGCACAAGAGAGGTCTAGAGTTCAATCCCCAGTGAAAGGAAGGAAGGAAGGAAGGAAGGAAGGAAGGAAGCAAGCAAGCAAGCAGGCTGTGGTGGTAGACACCTGTAATCCCAGTTCTTAGAAGCCTCAGGCAGAAGGATCCTGAATTCAAGGCCAGCCTAGGCTACATAGCAAGACCTTCTTTCAAGTAAAAGGAATAAAAATTTAAAAAGAAATATTGACTGAGCCAAAAATGGCTGTGTAAGGGGCTGTTTCCCATTTCTTGGCCTTCAGTCAATTACATAAAGATGTTTTGTTTTGTTTTGTTTGGTGGTGCCAGGGCTGAATCCCAGGGGCTTCTGCATGCAATGCAAGCAAGCTACCACTAAGAAGACATGTATTTTCATTCATCTGCCTCATCAATGAAATGATCTCCCCTCTCCCCTCTATGTTTCGTTTTGTTCTTTGTGATGTGATCTTACAGAGGCTGGTCTCAAAGTTGTTCTTGGCTCAAATGATCCTCCTATCTCAGACTTCCAAGTAACTGGGACTACAGGTATATGCCACCTTACAGGGCCTAAGATATATATCTATAAAGGCACAGACTAAGTTGAATACTTTCACTCAGGGTAAGAGTACATTTCTGCTGTGACACACACACACACACACACACACACACAATCCCCAACCTATGACATCCCAAGCCTCCTTAGCTATTAGGAAGAAAAGTCTAAATAAACCTCTTATTTTACATATTGCTAGTGGAATTAAACGTCAGTAATTTTGGAGGTTACAGAGCTGAGCAGTCCACTACTAATTTCTCCCTGACTCTGTTGTATAGATAACACCTCTGCTGTGTGGGCTATGATGATAATCGTTGCCTAGGTGACTCTTCAGAGACTTGAGGGACACTTTTGCTTGGAAATGCTGGCTCTTCACTAGGGCCTACAGACCTGGCTGGGTGACTGGCATGGGATAAAAAGGCTTGGCATCACATTGTGTCTGTTTTCTTTAATACACGATCTAGATTTGCTTTCCTTTTCTCTACCCCTTCTTCTCTTAAGGCCAGAGATGCCTACTAGCTCCCATGATGGGAAATACCAGACAATAAAAGGAGCGAGAAGAGATAGAACCTGAGTTCCTGGAAGACCTCAGTCTATAACTAGAAAGGACACCAATGTTCCTCCTCTGTATTAGCCCCCTCTCCCTTCCTATTCTTTTCCTAGATCTGTAACCTCTCATCTCTGTAGAATAAGAGACTGATTTACCCAGTCAAGATTCCACTTCTCCATTCCACTGCCATTGAGTCAACGGCAGTCTCTTGAGTCAATGGTTTCATCAAGCAGCAGAAGAACCGGACCTGGCCTAGCCACATTGCACCCATACCCACCTTTCTTTGTGGTACTGGGGTTTGAATCCTGGGCCTCATACACACTAGGCAAGCACTCTGCCACTTGACTTACACCTCAAAACCTTTTGTTTTTATTTAAAAATTTCTGCTTATCTCAGAATCCTCCTTCCTCTACCTCCTGAGTAGCTGGAATTACAAGGGTATGTCATAGTGCTCGGCTCACAACGGCTCTTTAATCTTCCTTAATCATGTCGGGCGAGATCCACCTCTGGAACCTTAACAATGGCGGTTCCCTGCTTTAAATGTACTCTTTCTTAGATAGCTAGATCCTGTTCCACCTTCAGGTCTCTGCTTACATTCCACCTCAGTGAGGCCATCCCAGCCTTTCTATTTGCCTTTCTTGCATTTATTTCCCTCTTTAGCACTTGTCAGTATTATATGCACACAGATGTCCACATTTATTTGTTGTCCTGCCTCCATCTCTCCCATGCAGTTTAGCACATGAGATGATAAACGTCATAATCATAGGCCTTTATCTATTCTGTTCACTATCATCCCCAGTACCTAGAATACAGCCTTCTCCTTCCATATATTTCATTAAATACTTGCAGGATAAATGAATGAGAGAGTGAATGGCAGGGTGAAGATGTCACAATACATTTAACCTCAAGTCTGTGCCTGGATCCCAGGCTCCAGGGTTAGCTGCTGTCTTCTGCCAATCTAACTTACCTGGCTGCCAGGGAGACAGGCTTCCGGGTGGTATAGATGGTCTGCACTGTGGACACGGTCTCTGTCAAAGGCCTCAGGGTCGCTGCTGGAATCAGTGGGGAAGACTGGCCAGGACAGCATTGTAATTTACTGTCTCTAAAGTCTGCCTGGAAAAGAAACAGAAAAGAGCAGATCAATCTCAATTTCAGTTCCATTTTCACACTGTCAGCTACTCTCTAAGCCTGACTGTACAGTTCCCGTTATTTTTTAATAATAGCTAAAATCAATTGTCATTTTAAGTGATTTTACTATGTGCCAGACACTATGCTAAGCACTTCCCATACATTACAACTTGACAACCTCTTAAAGTAGAGCTCATATTTCAGCACATCTTTGGCACCATCAGTTGTAAGATGCATCATTTTACACGTGCCACAGAGAAAGGAAAACGTGGCATTCAGGTTTGATCATGTTGTATAATGTAGAAGACATCCTGATTTCAGAGATGTTAAAAAGATGAACAAACATACATCTTAGAACTGATGTTATGAGAAAGAAACATGGGGCTCAGAGAGGCTAAGAAAGTATAAAGAACAGTATTTCTGACTCCATAATTGGTTTTCACCAGTATAGTTTCATACTTAGGTGATCTAAAATATGGCCTCAAAGAAATATCTGTATGATCTTGAAACTTGGTAAAAGGTCTAATGTTCAGGTCTCATCCGAGACTTTGGAATTGGGAAGTGTGTGGATCAATCCCAAACACATATTGTAATAAAACCCTCTCCTTCTCTCCAGATGATTCGCATGCACCAAAATTTCATTCTAGAGCACACAGAGTAGCATGGAGAGTGGAATTTCTGTCATTTTCATTGTAAGCAAAATATGCTTATTACTTCTTTTATAGAAATCTTAGAGGGTAGTATCTAGGCATGGTGGCTTATGGATATATTATTCCAGCACTAGGGAGACTGAGGTAGAAGGATCATGAGTTAAAGGCCAGAAAAGTTAGACAATATATAAAAGCAAATACATGAAGAAATTCTTTACTATTGTCATTAGTAAATTTCCTCATATTTCCTACATGGGGTGTTTTTGTTTTTGTATCCTTTTGAAAAAGACATCTGTAGATTTTTGTAACTTGATTCTTTATGTGAATTCATGTCAGTAAGCCATACATACAAAAAATTACACATTTGTCTTTCATGGCAGCAGTCTTTTGAGCTGGCCAGCAGACTCCTCTGGCTTACTACTTTCCAGGCACATGGTAGCAGTACATTTCATTGCTCCATTGAAATTAGACATGACCACGTGCCTTGCTTTGTCCAATAAAAAGTGAGTTGGTACTGAGTTTCATGCCATTAAAAGATTAAGGACCAGTGTGTGATTTGTCATCTTTCCTTTTTCTCTTTTTTTTTTCTTTTTCTTTTTGTTGATTTTGTTGTACTACTTGTTAGGCAACTGATTCATTACCTTGAGCTCCAAGAAGAACAGAGTCCTTGATCTACCATGATGTAGTATGTGTTGTGAGGAGGAAATTCAGGATGTTGTTTCAAAGCACAAAAAGGGTTAGCCTATCCTGGCTGATAAAGCAGCTGGGGTAACACCCCTCTCTGCATTAGTAAATAGTAAATGGAGTACGGCGGCAGGCTTCTGATATCATTGTTGGGACACTGGCATTGATGATGAAAGCCAGAGCTGGGTAAAAGTGCTGGGGCCTAAGTACAAACATGAGTGGTTGTGGCAGTCCTTGCATTCTTCACTAATTGAATGGTGGGAAGCCAGCTTTACTTAAGAATGACCTGGAGGAGCCGGGCGCTGGTGGCTCACGCCTGTAATCCTAGCTACTCAGGAGGCTGAGATCTGAGGATCGCGGTTCAAAGCCAGCCCGGGCAGGAGAGACCGTGAGACTCCTATCTCCAATAAACCACCAGAAAACCGGAAGTGGCGCTGTAGCTCAAGTGGTAGAGCGCTCGCCTTGAGCTGAAGAGCTGAGGGACAGCGCCCAGGCCCAGAGTTCAAGCCCCACGACCGACAAAAAAAAAAAAAAAAAAGAATGACCTGGAGGGCTGGGAATGTGGTTTAGTGGTACAGTGATTGCCTCACATGCATGAATCACTGGGTTCGATTCCTCAGTATCACATAAACAGAAAAAGCTAGAAGTGGTGATGTGGCTTAAGTGGTAGAGTGTGCTAGCTTTGAGCAAAAAAGAAGCTCTGGGGCAGTGCCCAGGCCCTGAGTTCAAGCCCTAAGACCTGAAAAAAATATTTTTTTTAAAGAATGACCTTGAAGAAGCAGTAAAAATTACTTATTAAATCTCAACCCTAAGTAATTATCTTTTTGGTATTTGGTTCCATGAGGAGATAAATGAATGAATGAAACAGAAGGACAGAGACAATTAGAAAAAAAGAGCATGGGACCAGAATCTGGCCAGAGCCAGACAGGGGTCCTGGCTGTGATTAGAGTGAGAGAATATTTGGGGCTAAACAGAATGGGGTTAGGCCAGGAGCCTGAAAATCTAAGACTGAAGGAAGGCTGTTTGGTTGGTAGGGGCCAACATACTGAGTACCAGCAGAGGCCCAGGTAACAGTCTTGAGTATGAAGTAAGAACTAGACTCAGAACCAAACCTAGTGGTTGAAGCCATGCTCAAGACACATGCTGGATCAAATGACAGACTCGGTACAGAGTTCCCCAGAGCTGCTAAACTCCCTCCATAACTATAGCCAGGATAGGCCTGGAGGCCTGTAGAGAAGCCATACCCACAGGAAATTCAAGTGTCTTGACCTTAGTGAGAAGAAGAGAACATAATATGTAGGGGTGAGAAAACTGGAAGGCTGAGACTTACAAATTTGGCTTCTGCTACCAATATGCTACTTTCAGCATAGTCTCTCCCCACTTATGCCCCTTGCCCTCTTGTCTACTCCCTTCTCCTAAGTTTACTGAGTGGGGCATACAACTGTCCATTCCTTACTTCAGATGGATGTTTTAAAGGCAAAACTATCACGGCAAAAGACAAATTCATTGTCTCTCTCAAGCCAGGCTTCTTCCAGGTTTACTTTCTGTTATGGTTTGGATAGGAAGCGGTTGAAAGATTGGTCCCCAGCTGGTGGAACTATTGAAAGATGATTGGACGATAAGATGTTAAGTTCATCAATGGATTAATTCATGGTGAGTTTATAGGTGAATGGGCTATTAGGAGGCGGGACCTAGTTGGAGGAAGCTGGTCATTGGAGGCGTGTCTTTGAAGAGTGTGTATCTGGTCTCTGACCTCCCCTTGCTTCTCTGCTTCACCATGAAGTGAGTAGCTTTCCTTCACCCTGCACCTTCCACCATGTTTCTGTCTTATCTCAGATTTAAAAACAATGGAACAAGCCAACTGTGGATTCAAACTTCTGAAATTCTAAGTAAAAATAAACCTTTTCCCCTACATGTTGTTTCTCTCAGGTATACTGTCATAGAAAGAAGAAAGCTAACTCATGCTCTTTTCTCTGTGAGTTGATTCACCGTTCATCTGAACTACCTGTAACTCTCTCCTTCATCCAAGTCTTGAATCTTACCAGCCAGCAAAACTGCTCTGGGGCAAATCAGTGCATTCCTTTCCCTTCAGCCACTGTTCCAGATTTCTAGACTATTGTTCTAAACCCACTCTATATCTGGACTTAAATGTTTCCCCTACTGTGACCACAGGGATCCAGTTCTTTGAAGACTTTCTATTGCTTTTGGGATAAGGATGAAAATCCCCATGTGGCCCACACAGCCTATGTCCCTTCCTCCCCTCACACTCTAGGCCCTTGCTCTGTGAATTTTGGTCTTTTGGCCTTCTCTACAATCCTTTCAATGTGTGATGGCCTCTCCCTCTGTCGGCTCCAGCTGCCTTGGAGCCACTCTTGCCCAGTTCTTAAAAGTCTCAGCATGATGTCTGACATTGGCTTCCTGTACCATCTGGGCCCTCAGCATTCAAGAAGGGCTTCCCTGAGCATCTCACAGCACTGCCAAGGCTGGGCAGGATGCCATGGCGCCCCACTATGGCCAATGGAGGGAAGTGGAGTGGAGTTTCCAGCTGGGGTGTCTTGTCCAGCAAAACTGCAGGGGGCTGAATGAGGACCTGGGCAATGGCACGGAACTCTGGCACGGCTCTGTGGCTCTGCCCTCTCATTAAAGGGCAGGAACTACAAGCTCTAGAAATGGATTGTTCTAGGAACCTGCTTTTCTCTCTGCCCGAACTGCTGGACATCTTCCCACCTCCATTCATTTTCCAAAACCATCAGCCACTGCTCCCTCTCTTCCCTGCTCATGTGGCAGAAGCCACCTCAGGTAGAGATTGGAGTCACAAATTGGGCTTTAGGGCTCACCCTAGGCCACCTCACAGAGCCTCTAGATAAGACAGAAACCACTGGGAGGGGGCCCCAGGGGTCATACAGGTTGTAGAATCACACATTTTGATTCCTGGGAGGAAGAGAGGAGGAAAGGACCCTGCTCTCCTACTTGTGCTCACTATAGAATGAACTTCTGTAGAAAATTTCAGTAAGAATGAATTGAGTAGCTGGAAAGAAGCATGAGGATTGCTGAATCGTTCTCCATCTGTAGATTCTATGGGAAACTACAACATTTAAATATTTAAAAATGTTTTGCAGAGTTAAAACAAACCGCCCAGCAATGACAGCAGTGGTGAGAGGTGGTAACAGGAGGCCGTTGCCAGGACTACCTGTTCTAGAGTTCTTTGTACCACCTGCTTCTGTGGCTCCATAGACATCCATTAGCACTGCCAATTGGGGGACAGTCTATGGTTAGGAAGCACTTTCCAGCTCCTAGTTATTTGTGATCCTTACCTTATTGAATGCAAGGAGGATATTCCTACTATTACCCCATTTTAAGTAAATGGAGGTTGGGGGCTCAGATTGGTCAAGTGACTTACAGAAGTTCTCATACCATCATCAAGATGGTAGATCCAACCCACTCAAACTGAAGATAAATGTTCAAACAAGTGCTTGTGCATACGTGTTCATAACAACATGATTTATGATAGCCAAAAGGTGAAAAAAACACCCCACAAATCCCTACGAATAAATGTGTGGAAAAACTTGCATTATATCCATACAATGGGATATTATTCCACCATAAGAAGAAATGAAGTGTCCACACATTCAACACAGATAAACCTCCAAAACATGACAGTAAGTAAAAATAGCCAACACTGCACATGCCATGCAGTATGATTCCATGAATAGGAATGTGTACACATGGTAAATCCACAGAGACTAAGTATAGGTTAGAGGTGTCAGAGCCAAGGCAATGGGAAATTGGAAAGTGACTGCTTAACCAGTGTGGAGTTTTCTCTGGGGTGGTAAGATGTGTTGGAATTAGAAGTGGTCACTACACAACATTGTAAATGTCCTAAATTCTACTGAATTGTCAGTTTAAGCCAGGTGTCAGTGGTTCATGCCTGTAATCCTAGCTACTCAGGAGGCTAAGATTTGAGGATCACAGTTCAAAGCCAGCCCGGGTAGGAAAGTCCGTGAGACTCTTTTTTTTAATATACTTTTTTATTGTAAAAATACTGTACAGAGGGGTTCCAGTTACATGAGCAAGGTGATGAGTACAATTAACCACCAGAAAACCCGAAGTGGCGCTGTGGCTTAAACTGGTAGAGCATTAGCTTTGAGTGAGGAAGCCCAGTAACAGTGCCCAGCACTGAGTTCAAGGCTCATGATCCACAAAAATGAAAAATTTAAAAATAATAATAAATTAATAAAAAGCTGTCAGTTTAAGATGGTAAATTTCATAGGAATCGCACATCAATAAAATAAAGTAGCTAAATTGAATAGGCAGACCCGGAATCCCAGCTCTTCTCAAGCTCATGTAGTTCATCAGAGAGCAAAAGCAGCTCACTGTTAAAACACCATGTGGGAACATTCAAAATGCAGGCAGGTCTCCTTTCTGGGTCTACTTACGGTAAACGGTGGCCCCGTAGTAAAAGGATCAGGAAACGGGCTCAGTGGGTCAGCTGGGAATGTTTTTATCTTCAAAAAAGAGAAAGACAAGAGGATTAGCATCCACTTAAGAAATAAAGTTTTATCACCTCTGGCAGCGTACCCTTACGATTGAACACAGGGGCAGCTTCGTGGGACCTCTATTCTTCAGGAGTTGGGACACAGTTCTATCTGTGTCTGGTGTTCAACTGCGAGGCTGCTGTCTCATTTGTCCAGCACCTCATGCTTGCTTCACCTTGAGCTCCTTTCACTGGGGTTGGTCTGGGTCAACCAGGCATGCCGGGTCCAGGCCTGATTCAAAGTGATAATGATGCAAGCCTGAGGTGCCAAGGGTGACCGCTGAAGGTGTCTCCACAGTTGTGGGGTATGGCAGGAGGTTCTTTGGAGGTCCATGCAGGACACCATATCACAGCAGGCAGGTACCAGGGGCCTAGGATAATTAAGTCAGAAAGTAGTCTATCTCTCTCTAATGACTCATTGCTGGACTGCCTGTGCATTTGGGCAATAGAGGGAAACTTCAAGGGAACCCAGGAAAGCATGCCAGAGTCCTGTTTTCAGGACTCTGAAAACAGAAGGCATGGTGCTCAAAGTAAGTACCCAGTGTTGGGGACAACTACTGAGTAGAGCTGGTCTGAAGGAGGCTGGATGCCCCAGTCTGGTCAAGTAGTGATGGCCCCGAAGACTCTAGGCTTCCATTTCTTTTACTTTGGTTATTTTGCCTTTGGCTTCCTGGAGGCCTTGTGGAATGGGAGGGTTTCTTCCTTCAAGCTGGTACACCAGCAGGTCAGGGAAGGACTTGGTGATTCTGGCACCAGCAGTGCCTGGAAAGACTGTCTATGGTGGATGTGGACTGGATCACCTGAAGTCAGGGGTACAGCCAAAACACCCAGGCTACCTCTGCTTAGTGACAGGAGCCTCATGTCTCGTGGGGTCATGCCTGTGGCACTTTCCCCCACTCTAATGGGTGGGAGTAAGGGAAGGATGAACAGATGCACAGCAGACTAGATCTAGGCTGTGGTTTTTCTGAATGGGTAGAGGAGGTCTCAACCAATGTAGGGACAACATTGTTGCAATGTGTACGGAGATGTCCAGTCCAACCTTGCTCCTATTCCTCCACATCTTTTTTGTTCTCTTTAAATATCTCAAGATTCCCAGAATGGGCTCCGAATCATAAAAGATTCTCAGGGTGAAGCTTTGCAATACTTGCTTCTAGTCCTGCCTAATGGGACAAACACAGTGTTCTAAAAACAATGTCATAACAAAAAGCAACTTGCAGGTACACCACCCTGGGACATTAGGAGGTACAGGGAAGTGCTTTCTTATGGACTATTAAGAGATGGGAAAATTAGCAACCACAAAGAATCATTTACACCAGCTGTAAATAAAACAACTAGATCCCCAAGATTCCACTCTATCGTTGACCCTGTGGCAGATCACATTCACTATTTTCAGATAGCTCTGTCAGTCAACCTAATCACTCCATTGGGCAAAAACCAGTCACACGACATTACCCCACAGAGCCTATAAAATCTCCAATGTGAAAAGCTACATGTGTTCCCTTGAACAGTGACAGTATGAAGCCCATGCCCTCAGCGAGGGACTGGTTAAGTAATGCTGGACCATTCGCTGAATGGAGTATAGGTTTTCATGTTGAAGGTGGCAACAAGAACAAGACAGAAACAAGACACCGAGTGAAAAGAGAAAAACATAAAATGATATAGCTACTTTAATTTATGATGCAAACTTATGAATGGAAGTGGATAAATAGACGGAAATGAAAAAAATGGAAAGTATAATGCTAGATTAGGATTAAGGGTGATTCTTCTATTATTAATAAGTAGCAGAGGAAAGAAAAAGTGATTTTTTTTTATTATCAATAGAAATAACACTTAAGGATCTATCTACCAGAATGTGAATTTCTCTTTGGGAAATTTGTCCTCATTAAAATTCTAAGCAAACAAACTTCTTGGTTCATGAGAGCTATAGCTGAAGGGGTTGGGATCACAGCTATGAGTCTGTTTGACCAGGGCCAGTTGAAACTCAAGCTTCTCATCCATCCTGGAGAGAGAGTACCTGACAGTAGGCTCTTTGGAGGTCTGGTGCTCCTGTGTGCCCATCCAGCCTCTGCCTCACCTGGAGCTCCTTCCACCTCACCTGTCCTGGCAGGCCCCTCCCTGCCAGGGTACCTACCAGCCTCGTTTTGATTGGAGGATACATGCAAACTCCAGTGGTCTCTTCCTTCATGGGGAGAGAGAGTGGAGGAGAGCAGCGAGGGTGGGCACAGTGGGGGTTGCTGGCGGGCTCTGCCTGCTCACGAGGAGAGGAGAGAAGAGAAGGGGAGGAGGAGGAGGTGAGACAGGGGCGGAGAGAGAGGAGATAAGGGAAGGGAGAGGAGAGAAAGATAGCACAGTGCAAGACGGATCTGGCAACTCCAGCTAGCTGGGCTAGAAGCCTTCTTCCAGCCTCTGGCTGGCTGGCAGCTGGTCCCTCCCACCACCCTCCTCTCTCCTCACCTCTCCTCTGTCTGGCCCTCGTCTCTCTTCTTCACTATGTGAGGAGAATGACATAACAAACCCCCTTCCCATGGCTGGCAGGGAGAGACTGTCTCCTGTTCTAGCTGTCTAGGACTGGAGTCAGTCCCCTAGCATACTGTCAGGGTTCAAAAGCATTGCCCCGGCCAAGCTAGAAGGAGTGCCATGAATTAGCAATATCAGCCATGGGAGCAATATGCAGACTGGCCACACACTTGAGAGCATCTGCCTTCCATGCCTGGGCCCTCTCTCTGTTAAAGAAGGACAGCCATGGTGGTGTGCAAGGGAGTGGATACCCAGAAAGGGATACCAAGAAAGTACTATATGCCCAGAAGACACAGAGTTCAGGATTTCATTTGTCACAATCCTGACCCATCCTCTATGCTCATAAGCCTTGGTATCTTACACTGGCAGTGTAGCACCTTGTTGCTTAGCTGGAAGACATTAAGCCCTGGGATACTGGCTTTCCCTCTCTGTCCCTGAAGAGTAGGATAAAACCAGCAGAGATCTAATAGCTTATTACAGGTAGGGATGAAGATGGCCAATAGAGAATGCCTGATATTAGAGCAGGGTACTATGGCGTTAGTTTAGGTTTCAAGGAGGAATCATTTCCTTCAGTGAACCAATGCATGCATCTCTGATTTAATTCAAGATTTTTTTCTTAAATATTTAGTATTATTCAGTTGTGAGGAATAAAATATAGCCGCTGGGTAAGTTTTATTGAAAAAGTGATCAAGAAAATTGCTGGCCTCTTTTTCTTCTCCAAATGGATCTTACTCTGTCCTCCTGACAATTGTGCAATGCTGGATAATTTCCAAAGGGCTTTTACAGTCATTTTCTCACAGTGCCCTTCACAACAGCCTTATTTTATTATTCACATTGGGGAGATGCAAAAAGGCTCAATCCCATTTCTAGAGCTTTTCATTGCTTGTTTCTAAATCCTTTCTTTAGAGCTAAATGAATTTGTATTAGTCACATGTGGTTAAGGTTTGCCAGCCTCCTTCAAACTCTTTCAATGTTCTCTTTAGTCCACCGGAGAAATCCCATCTGCCTAGAATGGTGTAGAAGCCTGTGTAAGGCTAGTTCCCACCTGTCCTAGTGGATGGATGGCTAGTTCCCACTACTGAATGTGTTCACTGATGCTTTAGACAGAACCAACTATATCAGAGGCTTCCCACCTCTGCCACTGGGCCTTTGTTTCTGCTGATACCAGCAGACACCCAATGTTTGTTCTCCAAAGGAAATAGAAGCTGACAAAAATGATGGGGAAACACGACCATTTTGACTAGAGGTTGTGTGCTGTGGATTATAGTGAATGATTTATGGTTTGCCCAGCATTGCAGTTGTTTGGTAAATGCTCACAATCACACAAGTGTTTCTGACCTTTCTAAGTAAGCATTGAGTGGATTTAAACAGAAAAATATACCTGGACTCTTAATAAATCCACATGTTTTTGGCTCAGTGGTAGAGTGCTTGCCTTACATGAATGAGGCCCTGGGTTCAATTCCTCAGCACCATACAAGCAGAAAAAGCCGGAAGTGGTTCTGTGGCAAGTGGTAGAGTGCTAGCCTTGAGCTGAAGAGCTGAGGGACAGTGCCCAGGCCCAGAGTTCAGGCCCCACAGCTGACAAAATAAATAAATAATAAATATTTAAAAAATCCGCATGCTTAATTCAGTAAATGAGGAGAAGATAAGACAAGAAATTTAAGAAGGAAGATGCTGTTTAAAAATACCATCTTCTGTTCCCCCCCCCCCCCCCCGCCCCCGGTATTTCTTTTCTATCTTGGGCTTTTCCACATTCAGGTTGCCACATTTTTCTACAGATAATTGGCTTTTGAGCTTTAAAATCTGACTCTGAGGGCAATATACATTCTTAGCATACATAAATGATGATGTGTACATACATCAACGAGATGGCTAGTTTGAGAACTGGAGAGACATGTCAGGCAAAGAGAGTAAGGGCAGATATCAGTGAATCCTGGGCCAAGCAGCTAAGTGCCCCTGTTCCCCCTCACCCATAGGCTGAGATTGCCAACAAGGACTGAAAAGCAGCCCTCAGTTCAGTTAGAGCAGGTAAAACAGCAGGTCCCAGAACAAAATGGCCTTAGGACAGACTGGTGTACAGCAGGTTGTTATCTGGGTTCAGAAACAGGAACTGCTTGGTTGGAAGACACCATGAGAGAAGACTCCACACTTTCGGATACTGGTGTCCACATCCTGGCCCTGAAGAGTGTCATGTGTCCAACAGAGATACAACAGCTCATTCTGGTGAGGATGAGGGTGCAGGACAATGATTTCTATGCACCCCAAAGAGCTGCCACACAGTGTCCCAGATAACTCAGTAAATGATGACACAATAGACTAAATAGATTTGCTGTCACATTCCAGTCCTCCTTTACCTCTCTCTCATACCTTATCCTTCCTGTGGAACCCAGATGAAGCTTCAGAGAGACAAAAAGAACACTCAATTGGATTTCAGATTCAGTTTTAGCCTTCCTGGAAGAATGAAGTTTGGAACAGACACTAAGATGTTGAGCCTGATGGAAACCCACCTGTGACACATAGCCCAGAAGGTGGGTCCTCCTGGCCCTATGTCAACACTCTCCCCACACTCTTCACTAACACACAATGTGCGAGGAGGGGACCAGGGGTTCTTATAGGCTCTGCTTTGCAGTCAGGTGACTGGTTTACAAATCACCAAGCTCAGAAGGGAATGGGCCCCAAAGGGAAAGAGCCAAGAACACAGAAGACATTAGTGTTGATGATCTCTCTGTTACCTGGAGGAGACAGCTGGGCAGAAAATAGGGAGAGGGGACAGGACTCTTTATTCCCGGGGTACTTTTCTCGCCACCATCCCCCTTTCAGTGGACACCAGCCCTCCTCTTGGGGTGAATTCATATACACCCCAAGAGAATTCTGCATGGAGAGATGCTGTCTTGACTTCACTTGCATTCTCACTTCCTGTTTGCAGGTCCTACCTGTTTGACCAGGCACAAATTCACATGTGTTGTGAACTGGAGATGCAGGATCTAGCATTGGGTAGGTCTCAAACTGGCTGCAAGACTATAAGGCTTCAGGTGCTAAACTGACTTATGTAATACAAGAATCAGAGGTTAGAACAGAGCAGAGAAGGAAGGGAGAATGCTGCGACAGTGAGACTGGTAAGTGATTCTTTGAGACAGTCCACAGAGCTGGGCAGGATACGAGAAAATGAGGAAGACAGTACCAGAGGGTATTTATTCTTCCTGTAGGGTTTGTTTTGGTGTGTGTGTGTGTGTGTGTGTGTGTGTGTGTGTGTGTGTGTGTGTGTGTGTGTGTGTGTGTGTGTGTGTTTGAGAAATGCCAGGTCAGGGTGAAACCTTTTATTACTGTTGGCGCTTTGGACTGTGCCTCTGAAAACCATTCCACAGACTAGACCATGAAGGTAGAGAGTTATAAGGGTTTTCATGGCACCTCGGAGGAACATTCCAGAATGAAGGCAAGAGCATCTGGGCCTTTTTTTTCTTTCTCTAGTCCCTTGTCCTTCTAGGGTTGGACTGAGGATTATGGAGGTGGGGGGGAGTCTACAGGAAGTAGTTAGACACAGGTTGTGAGTTTGGAAGGTGACTGTCCAGAAAAAGTATTCCCAAAGAAGACAGGACATTGCTTCTGTGATGAGTATCACAGATGTTACTTCTTCTTCTGAAGGGAATGTAGCCAAGAATTCCCAGAATGCAGCCAGGGGCTGAAGACACAGAGCTGGCAGTCAAGCAACCATACCTTATCTTAGCCGAGTTCTTGAACCACCACACTGGGCTTCCCGTATTTCCCACTCAGAAATTCTGGGGACCAAACCTGGACAGGTGGCTTAGATATAATCCCAGAGTGAGCTTTCCCCAAGCCTGGACTGTAGAGGGTAAGGGTAAGGCCAGAGGGTCTGAGAAACTTTATGGGACAGAGACTAGCTAAAGGGGAAACAGAAACATGGCCTGGTTTAGGCTACCTGCCACTGGCAATACTGCTGGGACCGTAGTCCAGGGTCTGGGTTCTAGTCCTAGCCTTGATGCAGACTGTTTGTGTGATCTAGGATATATTTCAGCCCTGTCTTGGTCTTGATTTCCTTATCTGTAGGGGAGGGAGAGGATGAGATGGTCCCACGGTATTATGGCCACCAAATGGCTAGACACAGTGACTGAGGAACTCCTAGGCACAAGTCAGGCAGAGGGCCACTCTTGCTTCCCTCTACTTCTGGAACTCTGCAGTGGGTAAAGAAGTCCTTCTGCAGCGCTTGTCTCATCCAGTCCAGGACACAGATGTACAGATGTGGCACAGTTACAAATGACACTGGTGCCTGTCAGCCTGATGACAAGCATATTTCCCAGCCCAGACCTGAGTCATCTTTCTCCTGGACTCTCTTACGTGGCTCACATTTTGATTCAAAGCTTCAGTGTTGATTTATGTCTAGCCCCAAGTAGATCATGTTCAAGTATACTCAGGTATTAGGCTTAGACCAGCTAAAGGTACATCCAAATTTACCTGGATTGTCTAATAACAGGAACACCTTACATATGTGGTGGTGGTTGGTTTTTGTTTTTGATCTTCACTGATGGGGATAGAATCAAAAACCTTGTACATGAATGTTAGGGAAGTGCTCTGCCACTGAGCTACACATCCAGCCTATTTTGTGGTGTTTTCTGTTCTTTCTCTGTCTCTGCCTCTCTATCTTTCCTCTGTCTCTGTCTCTGTCTCTCTGTCTTTCCCCTCTAAACATCATCCAATGACATCTGTGTTTTACAGAAGATGGAGTGGTAACACTCCAGTGATGAGGATCGTTAACAAGCAAAGCAGAGACTGACAGACTTGTCTGTCTGACGACTCCTGATTCAGTGATGTGACCTCCAAATAGGATTTCTCTCGTGCAGAAAACCCACAAGGGCCACTATCCCCCAGGCAGACCCATGTGAGAATGGACAACAGTCAGAAGGTATGAGGCCCAGGAAAGCCAGGACCTGGCTCCAGACAATGTTTCAGACCACACTGATTGTTAGAAGCAACAGCAAGAGATGTGTGGTCATGCACGGAACAGCACAGGCAGCCAAGGCAGCTGACACCCAAGTACGAAGGAGCCCTGCAACATTGGAGGAGCGGCAGACAGGCACAGGCAGAACCCCTGCATCTAACCTCAGATGGGGGGAGGGCGGGGGAGCGGCCCTCCCTCACTAGCACTGAAAGGTAGGGGAGAGCCACAGTGCCACACCCTCCATGAGAGCAGATCCCTGAGCCTTGGGGACAAGAGGACACCCCCTCTGGAGCAGCGGCTGCCTCACCATCGACCCACCACTAAGCCATTTCTATGGCCTGCAGATTCTCGGAATTAAGTAAATTAGGAACTTTACCAGAGGTGTCGCTTCTGTGAAATCCATCAGAAGGTCACCAGGCTCCAAAGTGAAGGCGCCTGCTCGGTCACAGGGGCTCTGAGAAAGCAGACAGAAAGATCCCTGGTTAGTGATAGCTCTGGACTGGCTGGAAATCACCAGAGAAGATGGAGCCTTCCCATTTCTCCTCTATCCTGTTTCTCCCTTCATACTTCCTTTGCTCAGTAAGGTTCAAAATGTCCAGGTTCATTCAGAAATCTTCATGGGTAGAAGTGAGGCCTGGGGATGGGGGGCAACACTGTCCTCTTCAATGCTGCAAACAACTTTTCTTAAGTGCCTTGAGTGTTCTATGACTGGTCTTTTAGGGAAACATTCCAAAGAGTCTTTTGAATATATGAAACGAAGAGGCCAGGCACCAATGGCTCACTCCTGTAATCCTAGCTACTCAAGAGACTGGAGATCTGAAGATTGTGGTTTGAAACCAGGCTGGGCAGAAAAATCTTCGAGACTCCATCTCCAATTAACCAGTAAAATGTTGGGCCGGAGGCATGACTCAAGTAGTAAAGCATCAGCCACGAGCAAGCAAACCCTTTGAGCACAAAGTCCTGAGTTCAAATCCTAATACCAGCAAAAAATAGATAAATAAACAAGTAAACAAATACATAAAAAATGAAGAGAGAATAAAGACTGTGTTAGGTGGATCAGCTGATCCCAGAAACAAAACTGATTTACACAATCATTGGGAAGATGCTCATGGTAGTTGAGAGGCATCTCTGAAGTTGGTGCTTCTTGGGTTTAGAGAACATTGTGTCTTTTATACCATAGCTGCATGGGTGGAAGCCCTTGGAGGAAGGAATAAAATCGCAGCTTGTCAACTTTACACAAGCAAGGGCTTAAAGAGAGAGATGGCCAGGAGAGGGAGCCCTATCGCCTTTGAGAAGATGTTGTGCACTACTACCACTCCCTTCTGTTTGGCCCTGCTTCAGCCTGGATTTAACCAGCTGTGGGAAACATGACAGGAGCCCATGTCCACACCATGCTGAAGATCAGGAGAATTAAATTAAAGGTGCCAGGAGATGAGCTACAGAACAGCAGGGCCTCGGTCTGGGCTAGCGACTAGCTAAGGTATCCAGCCGTATTGTTCTGTTCTAGGTACCTGGGTAAGGGATTAGGAAACACTTGGCCTTGGTCACTTAGGCTGTGGTCTGCACCATTGCTCTTTGATGTTGCTAAGAACTGTGAGCATGGAAGCTGCAGAAACCTCGGGCACCTCGTTTGCCTAATCATTGGAACATTTGTTGGATCTCAGCCACTGAGCGGGGCAAGATAACAGATACCATTTTTAGGAAAAAAAAGCTAAGGCTTGGAGAAGTCAGGGGTATAAAAGTAACGGTGCCTTTTGGGCTGTCACAATTGTGTGAATGGAGGTGCCTGCAAGGCTAGTACAGTAAAGGCCTTGGCTTTGGACTTATTGTCCCATATCTTTCTTCATGTGGTTGCATGGGCCAAAGCTACCATGATAGCATCCACATGGGTGGCAATAGCCTTGACCATATTTGGACCGATTGCCAAAGAATGACTAGAGCTAGAGTCACTCAGAAATGTTTTGTGTTTGACCTTTGTCACTGCCTTTCACATCTCTGGTAATGTCTGTCTTGAAACTTCAAACTGAACAAATAGAATAAAAATTTCCTATTTTCAGACCATCAGCATAGCTTATCCTATCTAAGGTATGTGATGGGCTCATTCCTATTTCCTATTTCTTCAAATTGTCCACTATACAGGCAGGGATAGTTTATGAAGGATACCATTCTAAATGAAAATTGCCTTCAAGAATTCTTTAAACTGCTCCGACAGAACAATGAACTTTTTTTTTTTTTAAGCATACCATGTCTCTTAGAAATAATTGGCTTATATTTTAGAGTTGAATATATGAAAACATGTTCTGTTTGTTTTCTTTGGGGGGGGAGGGGAGGGCCTATCATTTGAACTCAGAGTGTTCTTTTTGCTAGGCAGGACTCTAAGAATCATGCCTCTAGCCCTTTTTGCTCTCTTTGCTTATTTTTGAGATAGGATCTCTCTTTTTGCCCAGGCCAGCCTGGACCACAATTCTATTATTTTATACTTCCCACAATCATGTTACAACAAGGATCTTGCAAACTTTCATGCCTAGGCTGGCCTCAAACCATGATCCCCAATCTTCCTAAGTAGTTTAAGGTTACAGGCTAGAGCCACCAAACCCAGAATATCCATTTATTTTTAAATGAGTGCTCACAATTGACTACATATAACTTAAATGTACACATCCACAGCCATTCAAGGACACTGAATGCTCAGCATTGGCTCTTTCCCATACCTTGGCCCCTGGGGACAGTGGGTTCTTGCCTTCTGACTTCTGAGGTGAGGTGACTTTCTGGACCTTGGGGGATGCCAGCGGCACTGAGATTTGCGTGGTGGCAGTTGTGGTATTTGTGGTCGTGGCTCCTACAGCCTCAGCCAGGTCTGGAGGGAGGTCGTCTTCATCACTGCGGTTACTAAAAGCACATGAAGCTCTGCTCATTACAATAATACACAGGCTGTGGGGCGCTCAGGGAGGCTGGGGAGGGATAGCAGGCCATGGGTAAGCGCTGAGGCTCCCCAAATAAATGTCCCCAAATGTCTAGCTTACATGATCAAATACAATGACTTTTAACAAAGCATATTTGGGCTGGAGTTTTGATTACTTGCCTCTATCTCAATCTGTGTGTGTGTGTGTGTGTGTGTGTTGAATTGTAGCAAAATATGTATTTTTCTATTTTAACTACTTTGACCATTATAAGTGAGCAATTCAGTAGTATTAAATACATTCACAAAGTTGTACAAACATACCCACTATTCCCCAAGCCTCTTCATCTACCAATGCAAACTCTGTGTAGCTATTGAACAATGATACCCCATGATCACCTCCCCATAGCCTCTGGTAATATAAATGGAATAATACAATATATATCCTTTGGGGGTCTGGCTTATTTTGCTCACCAAGATGTTTTCAAGGTCCAATATGTGGTTTATATTACAATTTGATTCCTTCTTATGGTGAAAAATATTCTACTGTATAGATATGCTACATATTCTTATCCATCGTGTAGCCAGAACTCAGTTGTTTCTACCTTTTGGCTCTTGCAACAATGCTACTCTAAACATGGATGTACAAACATCTGTTTGACTCCCTGTTCTCAATTCCTTTGGGCTGGCATTTCACTTAGGAGTGAAGTTGCTGAGTTATATGACAGTTCTTTGTCCAATGTTTTGAGGGATCATCAAATCATGGGACAGTATTCTGAGTGGCTTGCCTCAGGCCAGCAAATACAGGGGCTGCCCTGAGCCACTGACTGCTCTAACAAACTGATTACAAGAAAGGAGCTGGGCAAATTTGCTTCTGAGCTCTGTTCTGAGAACTTCTCTACCGAAAGAAGATGATTCAGGAAGAAAATGACACTAGCTAGGAAGTCACCATGAGGGAGAATTGTGGCCTGGCATTATGGGCTAGTCTCCAGGGTTTGGGTTTAGGACAAAAGGTTTGAGCTCTCACAGGGTGAGTGTGCCATGGCCAGAAACCTCTTTGGACCTGGTCATTCTTGAACAAGTGCTAGCCTGGTGACATTATTCATCCTTAGCTTGGACAGTATATTCCCAAGCTTCCAGAAATTCAGACAAGTCTCCCAAGGCCAACTAGATGTTGCCTGCATAATAAAGGAATCATTCAGCTGATGGTGGGTGCTCAAAGCCAGCACACTGGAAAGAAACCACAAGCATTACTGAGATTGTGGGAGATAACATTTGGGCCTTTGGAGCATCTTGCCTAAGGAAGAGAATATATGGGCACCTTAGACCTTAACCATGCCATGCATTTTATGCTATCACTGTGACTTACAGTGAAACATTTGATCTTATATGCCTGACTTTTGGGGTCATACCCATAAGTCTGAGCTCTGGAAGGCAGTGCTAGAGACTGAGTAGTTTAAGCTAGTTGTATGGGTTCCATGTCTTTGTGACCAGTGCCCAGTAAAACCCCTGGTACTTTGTGTCACACATTAACACTTGGGGAATGAATCTTTGTCTGTCTGATCCACCCAAGAGTTCAGTGGAGTTCTTGCACAAGGCCTTGTGAATGCTTCCCAGACTTTACTACTGAGCTATACTCACAGCCCCAACTGTTTGTTCATTTGCTGGTCCTGGGGCTCAGACTTTGGGCCTGGACACTGTCCCTGAGCTCTTTTGCTCAGGGCTATCACTCTACCACTTGCACCACAGTGCCACTTCTGGCTTTTTCTGTGGTGAATTGGAGATAAGAGTCTCACAGACTTTTCTGCTGAGGCTGGCTTTGAACTGTGATCCTCAGATCTCAGCCTCCTAAGTAGCTAGGATTACAGGCGTGAGCCACCAGCGCATGGGCCACCTGGTTGTTTTTGATGATATAATTCTGAGGAATTGGTTATTTTTTTGCTGAACTTTTCTTTTTTTTATTTTTTGTGAACATACTGTACAGAGGGATTACAATTACATGGGCAAGATAATGAGTACATTTCTTATCAAGCATTGCAGCCTCCTCCTTTGTTTCCCCTTCACATCCCTTCCCAACCTCCCCCCCACCCCCCCACCCAATCCCCCCTTTGCTGAACTTTTCTGTGTTGCTTATTATTATTGTTTTAACTCAGGACCTAATGTTTGTAAACATTCTACCACTTGAACCATGCCTCTAGATCTTGCCTGTTGAATTTTTTGAGATCCTGTGTTTAAATACACAATAAGGTTATATTTTTTGGAAAATAATATAGCTGTTCATCAATTTCTTTCTCTGGGAGATAAAATTTCATTATGTTGCACAGACTGGCCTCAAACTCAAGTGATCTTCCTACCTCAGCCTCTTAAGCGGCTAGGACTATAGGCAGGTACCACTATATCTGGCTTGCTCACCATTTTCTTCCTTCCTTTCTTTCTTTCCTTCTTTCTTTCTTTCTTTCTTTCTTTCTTTCTTTCTTTCTTTCTTTCTTTCTTTCTTTCTTTCTTTCTTTCTTTCTTTCTTTCTTTCTTTCTTTCTTTCTTTCTTTCTTTCTTTCTTTCTTTCTTTCTTCCTTCCTTCCTCTCTCTCTCTCTCTCTCTCTCTCTTTCTTTCTTTCTTTTTGTCAGTCATGGGGCCTGAACTCTGGGCCTGGGCACTGACCCTGAGCTCTTCAGCTCAAGACTAGCGCTCTACCACTTGCGCCACAGCGCCACTTCTGGCTTTTTCTTCTTATGTGGTGTGAGGAATTGAACCCAGGGCCTCATGCAGGCAAGGCAAGCACTCTACCACTGAGCCACCTTCCCAGCCCCCCTTGCGCACCATTTTCTAAATACACTAGCTATCAATATAAAAAAGATATTTTACTTGCCTCAAACTGTGTAGCTTTCTTTTGCTTCCCCTCCCTCCTCTACACAAAGTCATTACTGCTTTTCCCCTCCCTGTCAGATTTCCAGGAAAGAACATGATGAACATCTTTCTTTACATCCTTAAAAGAATTAGGTTGATAAACTTTTTCAATGTACCTGCTTTTCATAGAGCAACTAAAATCTAAATACACAGAACACAGGCATAGGAACTAGGAATACAATGACATATACACACATCTCTATCTCTAAAATAATGATGCAATGAACAGTTCCAGAGAATCAGAAAGCTGAGTTTTCCATCCATGTTCTTGACTAAGTTTTTAATGAACTTCATCAATATTTATAAGTATAAGAGATAAACAGTGAACAGTAATCAGTGTCAATGATTCAAGAACTATTCCTGGGACAAAAATTAACACTGGGAAAATTCCATCCGTTAATTTTGCTGTATTTTACGAATAAGGAAATAATGTCATTCTTTGATTTTCAAAGCAGAACATTTTGGGCCATGTTAAGAAATACATATTTAGGTTAGTTGTTTGAAAAGGGTTTCATTAAAAGAGTCAGTTTGGTGAATAAGTAAAATTTTCTTTCCTTCCAGACCACTGATCAGTTGGTTATTATTTCAGACATAATTACATATCCCAAATGGGTGATAATAACATTTTGAGTTTCCAAATGTAAAGGGAAAGGCAAATCCTGCCAGCCTTTGTCCTTGGGGGAAGAAGTTTTGTGGTTTAATTTGTCCTCCAGAGAGAATGTTAATTACTTGAGCCCTATTCATTTTGACTTTCCTAGGAAACGGACTTGCAATACGACAGAAGTTTCTAATAAGGCTAACAAGGTGAGATGTGTCTGCCCCCAGCTGCTGGTAACTGTATGACTCTTTCTCCTTTGCAAGGTACAAATGGCAGATCTAAGGTGGCTATTTGAGGACTGCATTGGCTATTACACTCCCCTTCCTATACTTTGTTCCTTGGGGAATTTCTATATGCTCTACCTTTTCTTAGAAGCTTGCAGGTCCTAGGGGAGTACATCTTGTGGCCAGGCCCCATGCTAGGGGCTTTATTCACATTGCTATATGTTAACCTTCACAAGAATCCTCAGGGGTAGCTGACCCACTTTACAGAAATAGAAAGAGCAGCCCAAAATGTAAATTTTTCAAGCATGTATAGCAGTAAACGCATCTAGGCTCTAACAAGAGGCTTCCCAGCTCCACAATCCCTATGCTTTCCATTGTTTATTAACAGCTCCCTGCAGTTCTCTGACCAACTACACATTTAGGCACAGTGCCTGAGCTAACCAGGACTAACACCACCACCGCCCCTTACTATAGCACGTTCCTATCTCCTTTGGGTTATAATGATTTCACCTCCAATACATTGTGACTCCCTGGATGGGAACTGTCAAAGTCATTTTGCTATCCCTTGACAATGCCTGGAACAGTCTAGTGAACACCATAGCTAGGAGACTTCTGTTAAGCTAAGGTGAATAGAATGGATGGGCCCTGGTGGTAGGATGTGGCTCCTTTCATGGGTATCACAGATACCTTAGTTACCAACCATGCTTCCCTTTACTTATTATGTGTGAGAAGTAGCTTCTCTAAGGCTTCCAGTGATCCCTCTCCTAGTAGCCATGCTTCCACGCACTGCTTGAAAAATTTTTTTTCAAAGAGAAAGGTATGGTCCCATTATGACTTCAACTGGTTTGGGAGATGCCCTCTGAGAACTTAACTGAAGGGCTCAGAAGCATTTACATCCAATCACTTAGCATCATAACAGCTGTTACAATGGGAAAACTTGAAGTACAGAACTCACAAACTATATTGTCTCGTTAACTTCCTCACGCGGGGAGGCTTGATTTCTGGTTTTTCCACAGCTGGTTGGGCAGTTTCCACACGTATTGGGATAGGACTTCTAGAGATATGCCAGGGCAGGGAGGGAGGGGTAAGGGTGGGGGGGGGTGGAGGAAGGGAGGGTGGGAATGAGAACAACATCAACAGAAAAAGTTTATGATCTTATTTTGACCATGCAGACTTCTTTAGCTAATTTACACCTTAATAACATTGATAGTCAAGAAATCTATTTCCTTCCATCTTCTTTTTTTTTTTTTTTTGTCGGTTGTGGGACTTGAACTGTGGTCCTGTGCGCTGTCCCTTGGCTCTTCAGCTCAAGGCTAGTGTTCTATCACTTGAGCCACAGTGCCACTTCCAGTTTTCGGGTGGTTAGTTAGAAATAAGAGTCTCATGGACTTTCCTGCCCGGGCTAGCATCGAACAGCGATCCTCAGATCGCAGCCTCCTGAGTAGCTAGGATTACAGCGTGAGCCAGTGGTGCCCGGCTCCCTCCATCTTCCTAATTATTTACATCTCCCCTCAAAAATCCCTAAAAAAAATCATAGGGAAGAAAATATAGCAAGTTGGAAATGAAATATCACTGAGTTGCCAAACAAAACTGCCTGGTCCCAACCACCAGCCCAACCATTCTCAGACAAGGGTTTGGTTCATAACCAGGTTTTGGCAGTAAAATACATGAAGAGGAACTTATGGGCAACTCAGTTTTACTAACCAATAATCCCTAGCTATACTATTCTAAATCTAGCATAGAATACTTATTTAAAAAAATAAAGAACTGGCATAAGTGCTGCTGGCTCAATAGTGCTGGTGGCTGAGAGATGAGAATCATAGTTTGCAGGCAGCTTGGGCTGAGCCAGCTTGAGATTCTCATCTCCAAGTAACCACCAAAAAGCCAGAAATGAAGCTATGGTCCAAGTGGTGGAGTGCAAGCCTTGAGCAGAAAAAGCTAAAGGATAGCACCCAGACCTTGAGGTCAAGCCCCAGTACTGGCATACATACAAAGAGAAGAGAAGAGAAGAGAAGAAGGGAAGGAAAGGAAAGAAAGGAAGGGAGAAAGGGAGAAAGAAAAGGAAGGAAGGAAGGAAGGAAGGAAGGAAGGAAGGAAGGAAGGAAGGAAGGAAGGAAGGAAAGAAGGAAGGAAGGAAGGAAGGAAGGAAGGAAGGAAGGAAGGAAGGAAGGAAGGAAGGAAGGAAAGAAGAAAGGAAAGAAGGAAGAAGAATAATCTAGCCAGTGGCTCACACCTATAATACAAATACTCAAGAGGCTAAGATCTGAGGATCACAGTTGCAAGCCAGATCAGGCAGACAAATTTGATAGAGATTATTATCTCCAAATTAACTAGTAAAACGTCAGAAGTGGAGATGTTGCTCACATGGTAGAATACCAGCCTTGCACAATAAAGCTAAGTAAGAATTTAAGGGCCTAAATTCAAGCTTCAGAGCCTGTAAAAATATAAAATAAATAACCCAATCTATTTTATGCAAAAAACAGTCAAAAGATCTTTAGAATTTACTCTGAAACATTTCCATTTTATGTACATTTAACATGTGCTTGTTAAAAATTAAGTTCTTTATCCTTACATTTCATCAGTCATTTATGCCAGAGAGTAGATGGGCCTTACTCAGAATAATGATTTTAAGGAAAAACTTTAACATATTTTTGTAGTGATCATGACTGATTGCATTCTTTTAAAAGTTAGTAATTACCTTCTAGCTCCAAAAGGGAATCAGAATAAGTTGAGGCCCTTACAAGTCAATTAACACCTCTGGGGCTCCATTTTCTCTTCTATTCAGTATGCAATTATATGATAAGTATGTGATTAGTACCAAATAAATTATTGTTGAATATAGGAAGAGCAAATAAGGAGTGGGAATCAACCTCTGCTACCTTCACGCTTTACTCAGGCTGAGACCTTAGAATACTGAATATTGTTCCTTGAAGGACTGTCTCCTAGGAGACATATCATCTTGCCTACGTGCAATGGCTGTTTACCTGCAAAAAGCTTCACTCAGCTTAATGGAGGAAGCTACCAAGGTGGGAGACAGAGTAGAAGCCTAGCTGAACACAGGGCACCAGACTGCTGAGAAGTAGATCCCAGTAGAAAGCAAGGGATGAAGCTAGATGGAAAGCAGGGCCAGGTCATGAGGAGCCTCTGGCTGAGCAGTTTGCACCCAAAGGAAAGCAATGGCTATCTCTAAAGGATTAAGGCAGGGGAGTAGTATCGTGAGACTTGGCATATTAGAAAGGTTTTCAGAGAATGATGAGAGCATGGCTAACTGTTACAATACTAACTCAGGGAAGGTGGGAATGGGGGGATAGCACGAAAGTCAAATTGACGAACAGACTTGTTAGGTGAGGGGATGAGGCTGGAGGAATCAAGGACTTTCTGATTTCAAGATTGGTAAGAAGGTAATGATACCATTTACTAAGATCAGAAAACAAGGAAAGGTGGGAGAGATGATTTAATATGTTGTATGTTCGTTTGCATGCTGGAGATACAATCCAGGGTCTTAGACATGCTAGGCAAATGTTCTACCAATGAGCACCCTGACCCAAATTAAGTCCCTGAAAATTCCGAGAGAGGGTATGTGTCCCTGGAAGAAGACAAATTTATAACCAATATAGATCTGGAAGACAAATTTATAACCAATGTAGATCTGGAATTTTAAGAGAACACAGAAAATGTTAACCTTTATTTTGGTCATCAAGTCTAAGAATTCCCTAGGGAATTCTCTATCACTTAATATACTGATTTCTGTCCCCACAGAAATCAGTACACTCCACTACACATACACACACATACACACAAACACACACAATCTGTAAAGTCAAGTAGAACTTAAAAGTCTAATTTTAAGGCTGGGGATGTGACTCGTGGCAGAACATTTGTCTAGCACACAGAAAGCACTGGGTTTAATCCTCAGTATTGCCAAACAAAAAGAAAAAAAAATGTTTTGAATGAGAGATTTGTGTAGTGGTCTCTGGACCCATTTGAGGAAACTATCAAAGAGAGTCTGTTACAGTTTGGTCATGATTATTCTCCTCTGCTTCCCCTCAAAGGCTCATGTGTTACTGGCTGGGTCCCAGCTATAATGCCATTTTGGGAGATTCTACCAAATTTAGGAAGTGAGACCAAGATGGAGGAGGTAAGTCTTGAAGGGGTGTGTCTTTGAAGGTGACAGCTGGTCTTTAGAGCTATCCTTGCTCTCTGCTTCCTGTATACCATGAGATGAAGAGATTCTTCCACATGCTCTCTCTCAGGCCCTGACGCTCTGATCCAAGGACTATGGGTTGAAATCTGAATTCATGAGCCATATGGATATTTACTTCTCTAAGTTGTTTCCATCAGGTAGTTTTTTATAATGATGACAAAAGTAACTAACACAGAGCCTCTGAAAGTGGTGGTAGACTACCGTGGGGGCAATGGAGCTGCTGTTACTCAACTGAAGAGAGTCCTGCTTCCTCAGTCTGAGCCTTCTGGGGAAAGAGGGTTTCTTCCAGTTTTGATGAGATGGAAGCTATAGCCTGGGACTTTAAAGAAACAAGAAGGTAAAGCCTCCCGCACTGTGTTAAAGCGGCCTGTCACCACTCTAAGGGCAAAGCTTTTTATAAGACTTCATAGGGAACATGGCTTAAAGGAAGTTTTAAAGTTTTTTTTGGTGTGTGTGTGTGTGTAGCTCTCAGTTTAACTTTTCTTCTCTGATTCTGTCCACCAGCTGTCCTATGAACAGTGTTCCCAGGATATTATTGACAACACAGAGTATCCCATGCCCATTCAAACCAAAAGTAACAGACCTCACGTTCGTATCCTGAAGACTGGATTTCTTACTGATATTTACAAACGTTGGTTCCTCTTTTCCAATCTGTTAAAGAAAATAGTCAGGTTAGTCAAAAATGAGTATTTTCTAAATTTCTTTTTTTCATATTTCCTACACTCAAAGGGTTATAGATGAGTAAAGCTGGACCCAAAAGGTAATTAATCAAGGAGCCAACTTGTTCTGGTGTTTATATAAGAGAACAAAAAACACTTCTCTTGAGTCATCCATCCTCACTATGAGGATTAAGATGCAATCATTTAGATGCATTCAATTCTTGTATTCATACATTTATCGAGCCTGCTCTCTGAATGAGAAAGGATGGTGTGGGAAAAGCCAAGGCTCAGGGTTGAGATATGAATCATAATGAGCTCAATACTCACATAGCACTTACAGTCTACAGAGAGGCATTTGGAATCTATCTTTCACATCAGCATAGCAAGCCAAAGAGGAATTTCTTCTTTGGATTTGGATAGAAGCCTGGTCTCCCTCCTTTTGGTGGGTCCAAAGAATGGAAGAGGAAGAAGAGATACCTCCTTAGCCAGCCAGGCCAGTAGAGTGCCCCACACTGCTGATGGATGAAAGATAAAGCAGCCCATGGTCCTTGCCACTCATCACAACCTGTAGAGGTTGGCCTCTGGCCTGAGTACGTGTGGGGTGATGCTTCCAAGGACACATAGCACGGCTGGCCTGTTGGGCTTCTGCTTCCTTTTCTTATATCCTTGTCCTGCATTGATGCCCACAGGAATTGACATGATGCCCTGGGTGGTATGTCTGACTATGCACCCATGCCTTTCCACACAGCCCTTCAAAGCATGCTAACCCAGGGATCTCCAAAGCAGGTTCTTGTGTTCCCAGGAACACAAGTTTGGCAGATGACAGTGGAAGCTATTTCACAAAGTGTTCTGTAGCCATTAGGTATGAAGGAAAGCAAAATGAATTTTCTTTTGATGTAGGACTTCTCTGAGTCTTGAAGGTACTAGTGTGCATTTGGACCATTTTAGGGAGTCTGGTGGGTGGCATTTCTCAGAATGACTGGTGACAGTGCTCCCAATAATACTGCTCTAAAAGCACTGACCTTCACTTCTCTCTCTCTCTCTCTCTCTCTCTCTCTCTCTCTCTCTTCCTTTCTTTCCTGCCTTTAGGCCATTCTGTGTTTGATTGCTTGGCCAGGACATTTTCTTTTCTTTGTGTGTGTCTCTCACCTTTTCCAAAAGGCAGCATTTCTGATACTCTGTGCTTCTTCACTGGTGCAGAAGCCAAGGGTCCACCACAAGTGATACACATAAGAACATTCTAACATATGTAATAGCAGCCTGGTAAACTGTGATGTGTATGTCACTTTAATTTTTAGTATGAGCATATAAAATGACATATTTTAAAACAATGAAAGTGGTAGAATCAGGACAAGGAGGATTTGTGATTGTCCCTCTGATATAACTGAGTGTGAGGCGAGAGTCGGCCTGCCCATGCTATACAAAGAGCTTCTGTGCTAGGGTTCAGGGGCTCACCTTTAACTACTCAAGAGGCTGAGACCCAGAGGACTGTGGCTCAAGGTTGGCTTGAGCAGAAAAGGCTGAGGGACTCTAAATCTCTAATTAACTAGTAAAAAGCCAGGTTGGAAGCATAACTCAAGCAGTAGAGCTGTGAGTGTGAGGCCCTACGTTCAAGTCACAGTAACAACCATTCTTACATGCAGACCATCAGAACTCCTACCATTTCATTTGTGATTGACAATATCTCCACATGGAGCACAGGTACTGTGCCAGTTACTCTCTACACGGGTTCTCTCATTTAATCTTCACAATCACTTAAGGGTAGATACTGTAATCTCTAAATTTACATAAGGGGAAATAGAGGCTCAGGAAGATTGACAAGCAAGTTTAAGATGGCACATTTGAGAAATGGTAGGTAAACTCAAACTCTGGCCATCTGACTTTCAAGATTTTATTATAGACCTTACTGCTTCCTGTTTCTAGCTGGTTTTTGTTTTTGAGCCAGTCCTGGGGCTTGAACTCAAGGCCAGTGATCTACCACTTGAGCCACAGCTCCACTTCTGGCTTTTTGGTTGTTAGTTGGAGATAAGAGTCTCATGGACTTTCCCACCCAGGTTGGCTTTGAACATTGACCCTCAGATCTGAGTCTCATTTGTAGCTAGGATTGTAGGAGTGAGCCACCAGTGGTCCAGCTTTTTTTCTATTTTTGTAAGGTTTTTCTGTTGTTTCTCATAGAATAATCTGAATTATTCATATTGCTGACAACATGGAGCAGTCCTCTCTGTTCCATCAAGGAAATCCTGTGACATGAAAGCAAAGAAATGCATGGCCACATACCTGAGCATTCACCCTGGAAGCATTCTCCAACTGTGCCTTCAGGATGTTGCACTTAACATGCTCAGCCACGGGGGAAGGCAGCAGTGGGGTCTGCAGAGTCTTCTCAGAAACTTTCTTCTCTTCAGCCTGAAACAAAGAAAAATATGGAGGGACAGTTTATAAAAAGGGGTAGAAGATGCACATTAAAAATTCCCAACAATTACACTTCAAATGACACAGAACTAGATATCTAGGTAAGGGCAGTTATTCAATTATCATTTCTTCTTCCTTCTGCCTGAGGAACTGGACCAGAGAACAAGCCTATTCATTCTGCTCTGCCAAGAGAGGCACTAGCAGGAAGGGACTGGCTCCTCCAGCCAGCTTATGCTCTCCCTCATCCCCAGCAACTGTGTTTGTGCCCTTTTACTGTAAAGAGGATTCCCATTCTCTTGTGAGGTAGTGAGAGGACCTGTCAGGAGTGTGAATGAAGGTTCAGAGTCATGCACCAGGACTCAACTTCCCTACGCCCAGTAAGGTGTTATATTTCCCATAGCTACTACTTCTGACATAGAAAGACACAATGGTGTGATTTGTAGGGTCAAGGGAAAAGTGAAAAGCACTTGTTGATATTTTTTATAATTAATCTTGCTGGTAAATATGGTACTCAACAAGGTATTTGTATTGATACTGTCTTTTTTTTGGGTCAGTCGTGTGGCTTGAACTCAGGACTTGGGTGCTGTCTCTGAGCTCTTTTTGCTCAAGGCTAGTGCTCTACCACTTTGAGCCACAGTGCCACTTCCAGCTTTCTAGTAATTAATTGGAGATGAGTCCACAGACTTTCTTGTCCATGTTGGCTTCAAACCACAATCTTCAGATCTCAGCCTCCTGAGTAGCTAGGATTACAGGCATGAGCCACCAGTGCCCAGCTTTCCTTTTTCATCTTGATGTAAACCCAGCTCCTGGTTACACGCTAAGCACTCATCCACCCCTCAGGCACACGACACCCCTGCAGTCCCTATGTTACATTAGTGTAGGACGCCGTGGAGTTCTGGAATTTGGATTACCTTTGCTATTGGTGTCAACTCCCCATGTGTCAAATGTGGACCTAATTCATGTGACTCGGTGAAAGAGGATTACCCAAAGACTACATAGTCATATCTGATCATGTTCGAAGCAATAATACCTTTGAAATCAGAGGCTTTATAACTATTATATTTATTATAATAGACATGGTGATATTTACATAACTATTAAAATAAAAAGTACTCATCCATGCATGCAGCCTGAAATAATCTTTAATGGTACACACACCACTTCTGGGAAATAATTTCTTATTGCTCATCATACCTATTGAGGTTATTATGTATCCCAGTGCAACACAATGTTTAAAGCCAAATAGGCTTCCAATCAATACCTACTGAAGACAATTATGTTAGGCATTTATTTTCAGAAGAGATCGAAAGTCATATGAGCATATGATCCTAGAAGTCATTTAAGGCTAGGCACAGAGGCTCAAGCCTATAATCCTAGCTACTTGAGAGGTAGCAATTGGTGGATATAGCTTAAGGCCAGCCTCAGCAAAAAAGAAAAGAAAACTCCATCTCAACCAATGGTTGGGCATGGCGACACATACCTGTCACCCCAGCAACACACAGAAACCTAAATAGGAGGATCACAGCTCAGGCTGGCTAGACATTAAGCAAGACCCTATCTGGAAAATGACCAATGCAAAATAGGCTGGAGATATTGCCCAAATGGTAGAGTATTTGCCTAACAAGCACAAAGCCCTGAATTCAAACCTCAGTGCCATAAGTAGTCATGTCAGTACCATCAAAACCAAATGTGGCATGTCAACCACAAGGAACCAGAGCAAGAAGAAATCGTACTGAAGTTCTTCAAGTTCAGAAATTGACATTATTCATGATAGCAGCAATCCTACTGAGCAACTTGGTACCCATTGTGGGAATCTTATGAAAACCATCGAGGAAGCATGGAGCATCATTTAATAAAGATAAGGAGACACAGAACACAGTTTCCCAATGATGACATCAAACACAGAGAAGAGCATCTGGTCCAGCAAGCCCAGTTCAACCATTTCATTTAATACTAAGGCAGGCCAGGGTAGAAGCTCTGGATTTGAGCGTCAGTTTTTTTCCCTGTTAGCCTCATCAAAAAATAGATGACGATGACGATAAAAGTAATGCCAATAACTAATATTACTAAGAGGGTATTATTATTATTTTATCCTATATATTTCAGTACTGGGGGTTGAACCCAGGGTTCTGTGCTTGCTAGACAAGCAAGCTAACAGTTGAGCACTTTCATCTATTTTTTATTTTGAGAAAGGATCTTGCTAACTTTCTCTGAACTGGCCTCAAACTTGAGATCCTCTTGTCTCTTCCCTCTCCTTCAGGGTCTGGGATTACAAGGTGTGTGGCATGACACCCAACTCTCATTATATATTCACAGATACACCTCACTGAGTGGTCTCATTTTCCATCTTGTTTGGAGGTAGGTACTATGATCATATCTGTTTTAGTAAAAGGTAAAAGTCTCATGTGATCTGAAGAAAAATCAGAAGAGTATTAACCTCATTTTGTACATGAGAAAAAGGAAGCAGAGCAGTGTAAAGTCACGAGATGCTCACCCAGGAATGGTGACTTTGCTTGACTCTAAAGCCAGAGCCTTCAACCAGAGCTCATTCAACCTAACTTAACATTAGCTTTACCATGCCAGTTTCCCTTAACCTGTCTATTTCAGTTTTTCCCCTTTATTAGATTTCTTTGTATATGTGCCAGCACTGAGGCTTTCACAGAAGGCCTTGCACTCTAACTTTGCTTTTTCTCTCAGTGCTGGCACTCTACCACTTGATCCACACCTCCAGTTCCAGCTTTTTGGTGGTTAATTGGAGAGAATAGGCTCACAGACGTTTCTACTTGGGTTAGCTTCAAACTGTGATCTTCAGATCTCAGTTTCCTGAGTAGCTATGTTTACAAGTATGAGCCACTGGCACCTGACTGATTATATACTTTTTAGGATGTTCAAATGAGGAAAAAAAAATATGAATGACACTTTCAGGCTAGATGCTTTGATTAAAAAAATTACAGAGCCAGGGCTGGGAAGGTGGCTCAGTGGTAGAGCGCATGCCTTGCATGCCAGAGGCCCTGGGTTCGATTCCTCAGCACCACATAAGCAAAAAGAAAAAAGCCGGAAGTGGTGCTGTGGCTCAAGTGGTAGAGCGCTAGCCTTGAACTGAAGAGCTGAGGGACAGCGCCCAGGCCCAGAGTTCAGGCCTCAAGACCAGACCCCCCCCAAAAAAATTACAGAGCCAGGTGTGGTGGCATATTCTTGTAAGCCCAGCTATGCAGGATGTGTAGTAGGGAAAATTACAGTCCAAGGCTAACCAAGTAAAAAGTGTGAAATCATACCTAAAATAATGAAGCAAAAAGGGCTGAAGGTTACATCAAGTGGTGCCTGCTTAACTAAGTTCAATCCCAAAGATGAAAGAGAGAAGAGAGGAGGGGAGGGGAGAGAAAAGGAGGAGAGGGGTGAGGAGTGGGTAGAAAGTGGGTAGAAAGATATGGAGAGATGGAGAAAATTGAAAAAAAAGAAGGAAAAAAAGAAGGAAGGAAGGGAGGGAGGAAGGGAAAGAGGGAAAGAGGGAAGGAGGGAAGGAAGAAATAAAGAAAAATGGTTACCATAGGAGAAGAACACTGACCCTAAACAGTGGAGCAGGACTTGGAAAATTGGCTCATTTGACTGAATTCATTACCCTAGGGGTCTTTAGGCAAATAGGTAACTTATTTATAACTTACTTATTCTGAAAGGTGAGGTTTACAGTGTAGGCTTTGGAGAATTGGTTTTGTGTTTGTAAATAAATGCAGTTATATTAAGATATTTGTTTCACACTGAGATGGAGATGGATGTTTTCATTGATATATGAAGAGTTAATTTTTAATTAGAGCTTAATTTGGGGGAAAGTCATGCTGGGATACAGGAATTAAATTAGTTATAAAGTTCCTTTGAGGGTTTTGACAGTTGCTTAAGGGAATGTGGTTATACTGACAGTAATGACTGAAAACCTACTTCAAAAAAAAAAATGCTGCTGGGGCTGGGAAGGTGGCTCAGTGGTAGAGCGCTTGCCTTGCATGCCTGAGGTCCTGGGTTCGATTCCTCACCAACACATAAGCAAAAAGAAAAAAGCTGGAAGTGGTGTTGTGGCTCAAGTGGTAGAGTGCTAGCCTTGAGCTGAAGAGCTGAGGGACAGTGCCCAGGCCCAGAGTTCAGGCCTCACGACTGGACCAAAAAAAAAAAAAAATGCTGCTAAAATAAGAAAAGAATGGCAACTCAGCACTGATTTCCTCCTTGAATCTGAGTAATTCTAAACAGCTTTTTTGGACATAAAGTTCAAGCTGATCTGTTGCTATTCATCTGGAAAGAGCAAGGAATCTGCTCTGCATAGACTCAGGAAACGGCCAATTTAAAATTTTAAAAATGCGTGTATCCTTGTGCATTTTTTTGTTTGTTTGAATATTGAGAATGGACTTTTATTTCGATGTGTGATGTGTTTTTTTTTTTTCCCTTTAAAAATGCATCTCTGAGCTGGGCACCAGTAGCTCATACAGTAATCCTAGCTACTCAGGAGGCTGAGATCTGAGGATCGTGGTTTGAAGCCAGCCCAGGCAGGAAACTCCATGAGGCTCTTGTCTCCAATAAACTAATCAAAAAAGTCAAAAGTGGCGCTGTGGCTCAAGTGGTAATGCCTGCCTTGAGCAAAATGAAGTTCAGGGACAGTGCCCAGGCCAGAGTTCAAGCCCCAGGACCAGCAAAAAAAGAAGCATATTTCTGTGGGAGATTACAAGACCCCAATTTCAGCTCCAAAGAAGGCCCAAGAATATCGTGCTTTCTGTTTTTTAACAGACCATCTTTTATCTTTTATATTCAATTTGAACTGTCAAAAGAAAGTTCATTACTCATTGTGGGAAAGCAGGTTTCAAATCATGCAAGTATGAGCCAGAGATGGTGATGTACACTGTGCTCCCAGTACTTGGAAGCAGAGAATCACCCTTTTGAGGCCATTTCTCAGTACATAGAACCATGCATTAATATATATCCAATCCAGCCTTATATAGGTAGTAAGACCTGGTCTCAAAATATCTAAAATTCCAACAACAACAAGAACAACAAAACCCATACAAATGAATGAGAATTGGGTGTTAGCATTATATTTAAAATGAGGCCATCTGAGAATGTCATTTGGGGGTAAAGAAATGACCACTGCGATGAATTTTTACACACTTGAAATCCATTACAATTTAAATTCCTGTGATGAATTTGGGTACCACTTTAGAACTGGGTAGTGAAAAGGGCTTTTCATTAATAAATTAAGAGCAGGAGAATATCAAAACCTTAGAGAATCTGAATATGCTTGGTCCCTAAGGCTGGGAGGGGAAGCAGGGGAGCAGGTGGAAACAACACCTTTTAAAAGCCATCCAAGCCAATGGTCCCCAATCGTGGTGTCATGGCAACAAGAGAGCTCTGGGGTAAAGATATGATTATTAATGACAGAACCAGCATGAAGTAATATGCTTTGCTCATGTGTGGTGGATAATCATATCACTCTACCTTACTTGCTGATTTTTACTGTTTGTTGTGATGCTGAGGATTCAACCCAGGGCCCAAGCAGGTGCTCTACCACTGACCTGTAAGTTCAACCCCTTATGTACTCCTTTGGGTGAGGGAGAAAGGAGGGAAGTTTTAGTTTGAACTCCAGGACCTGCTATATAACCCACAGGCCTGTGAGGTTTGCCTTCCCCTGTGCAAGCAGCTCCCCTTAGCTTCCCACTAGTAGTCATGGCAACCACGCATCACTACTGAGCCTGGGAGCGCTCTGTGCCACAATATGCTATATTTCCTTGCAAAACAGCTTAGGACAGTGTCAAACGCTGGGTAAAAGGCTTTAAAATCAGTTATCATGGGCCATGTGGAAGAAAAGTCGAAAACCAAAAGACTAAGAAAAAGCAAGCCAATGCTGGGGTAGGTAATGCTTAACATTGCAATTAACCCAACAGGAAGGTGAGTGCTTTTGCTCTAATAGCACCTGAGCAGTGAATGTTCAAACAAGACAGGGCAGAAATCCCTTCCAGCCCAGGCACATAATCTAGGAAGCGGGAGTCATAGGTTGGACATGAGCACCCTGTCTATACTCCAGGCAGAGGCCTGGCCACACCTTATTGATGTTGATATGCAGAGCAGGCCACGGCCCAGCAGCCTTCACTGTCTCCAGTTCCAGCTTCTTCAGATGGGCAGCAGCTTCGCTGAACAGGGCAGGTGCTCCTGGACTCAGTTCTGCAAAATAGCCAGGGAGAATGAATCAGGACAGGGTGACATGACAGGTAGACATAGTGGGGGCTGGGAACACTTGCCACAGCCAGATGCCCACCCTTTCTGCCACGTCTCCTCCTCCTCTTGCTCCTCCTCCTCCTCCTCCTCCTCCTCCTCCTCCTCCTCCTCCTTCTCCTCCTCCTCTTTCTCCTCCCAGCCTAATGGGAGGAGTTTCTGAAGCCCACTCTTACTCTTCTACAGAGATGCTAGGTGGGACTGGGTAAGTTGTTGTACCTCTCTGAGCCTCTGAAAAATGAAAACAGAATGTCTTATCTTGCAGGGCTGCTGTGAGTATTAAGTAAGATTGATGTATGCACAGATGCTTTAAAAATGGAAAATCACCACATGAACTGGAAAGATTAGTGTTCAGGCTGATAGATGTATAAATGTGCCCTTTTTCCAATTAACTACTAAAAAGCTGGAAGTGGAGCTGTGGCTCAAGTGGTAGGGCATTAGCCTTGAGTGCAAAAGTTCAGGGACAGTGCACAGGCCTTAAGTTCAAGCTTCAGGACTGGTGCACATGTGTTCACATGCGTGTATGCGCTTGCACACACACATACACACACTATATTGCATATATAAAACCAATTCATTTTGCCTTTCGTACTACTTTGAATTTGTGTGTCATCGTTCCTTCCCCTCTATTAACTATTCATTGAATTTAAATATTCATTACCTAGTAAAACTTGTGCTAAGTATTGTTATCAATTGAGACCTAGGGAGCTGAAATAAAGAGGCAAATGAGACACAATTCTGAGACTAGAACATATAGAGCACTCGAAATAAAAGTAATAAAGGGTTTAATTAGTTTCTATAGGAGCAAGAGACAAAGCACTCGAAAGCTGGCAAGAGTGGATGGATGACAGAGAATATTTTACTGTTAGCATTTATGCTGGCTCCTGAGGGATGTGTAAGAGTTCACTAGGGCACAGAAAAGCGATCCAGAAGAGGGAACAGCAGGTATGTGATGGATAGGGCTCATACTGGCACAGGCTTTGGAGAAAGGAGAGAGTAGTTCTGTGTAGCTGGAGTGTGCTGGGAAGAGGAGGTGGGGATGCTGGGAGAGACCAGGCTATGCAGGTCTGCCTGTGGCCATGTTCAAAAATGAGGCCTTTATGCTATGATAGGGGAAGAGGAGGGCAAGGTCTTGAGTCTTTGGTCATGTTCTCTGTTAAATGCTGACTTGGCAGTGGGAGAGCTGCATTAGGAGGCTGTGGCAGTTACCCAGGTGCAAAAGGATGAGCCTGGGATCTTCCTCAGACAAGGGCAGTGTGGGCAGACATGAGGGTGCAGAGTTCTGGGAAGTGCATAAATCCCATTTGCCCTTCCCATGTAGCTGGGATGACAGCAGCACACAACAGTACCCACTTATTCATAGAGATGGAGTCTCGGGGGTTTTTTGCCCAGGTGGGCCTAGAACTGCAATCCTCCCAACCTCTGCCTCCTGAGTAGCTAGGATTACAGGCATTAGCCACTGATCACAGCCCAAGCCCAGTTTTTATGAAGTCTAACAGAGGTTAACTCACTTTCTACTGCTGCGAACCGTGTTTCTCACTGCTGGCTCTATTTCTGTGATTTTCCCTTTTAGAGCTGGCATTACAGGTAGACCCTGTGGATCCACCTGACCCCACCTTGCTCTCAGAAGAGGGGTGTCAGAATGGCTTTTCCTGAAATCAGGCTAGTGGAAAGCCAGCCACCACCTCCCTCTGACCTTCCTCTTTTGCACAGATCTGTACCCTGTGATTGAGCTGGAGCCCTCATTCTCTCTAGATTGCCTTCCCTAAGTTGCTCAGACTTTAGTCTGATTTGTCCAGACCTGGCCACTAGCATAACACTACCAGCCCTCCTGCTGCGTGGGTATGGGCAAGGACCTGCCCTGGGCTTTGGGAACTCAGGTCCAGCCCTACTCTTCTCTCCTGAACCCCCAGCTCTGAACCCCTGCCCCTCGCCCCCACTCACTGGTAAGGGACTTGCTGCTGGAGTTTGGGGACCTTAATGGCCCCTCTTTGTTCTCCAGGGTCAGTGAGAGGCCATAGTTGGAATGATGCTGGTGCTGGTGGTGATGTCTTCCAGAAGCTTTTGGAGGGAATGGTGTACCCCCGTTCTCCTCAATGCCAAAGGGCAGCCGGTCCGAGGGACTGAGCAAAGGGGAGGGGAGCGGGTAGCTGTGGGGATGACAAGAGCAGGCATTAGAAAAGGAAGGTTTTTGTTGTTGTCAATGATTAACTGATAGATTGATATTTGAGTCAGGGTCTCACTGTGTAACCAAGGCTGGTCTTGAACCCGCGATCCTCCTGCCTCAATCTCACAAGTGTTGGGATCATAGACTTACAACACTGCAGCTGAGGAAAAGTAGGATTTAGTAAAAGTCCTCTATGGATGTTCAAAGACACTTTCTAGGTATGGATCAAAAACCAAGAGAAACAGATTCAACAAATAAATCTCTCTTAAAATGGATTTTGCCACTTGATATCTGAAGGAAAACAATAAAGGAGAAATATATCTATATCTCTATCTATCTATCTATCTATCTATCTATCTATCTATCTATCTATCTATCTATCTATCTATCTATCTATCTATCTATCTCAGAAACCTGACAGCTTGTACCCTAAAAAATCTTAACTTTGAAATGGAATAGAAAGATTTATTTTTTTAAGGAGGCATTCTCTAAATGGGAGGGAGAAATAGAAACAACAGTAAGTGGTAATCTTTCAGATATTCTCTGGTAAGACTAGGCTACAAACTAGAAGTTCCTTACTGCATATCCTAGCACAGTTCCATGACTGTTGCAATGGTTTTAGCTGGGCTGAGACTCCAGCCTGGGGAGGAAGAACCCTCCATCTGCAGTAAGACTGATTTATTCTGCGTTGTGGTCCAGTCACAGACTCAGAGGTGTCCCTCAGATTGAATACTTGAAAACCAGAACAAAGGTTGTGGCAGGATCTTTTTCACGACTTTTGAGGGCTGAAACTATCTTTTGCTTTCATCTCATATGATCGGGGCTTAAACTCAGGAACTTGTGCTCATGGCTGTCACTACCATTTGAACCATTCTTCCGGCTCTTGCTTTTTACTGATCAGTTGGGGAAAGCAATTCAAGGACTTTTCTGCCTGGGCAGGTTTCAAACTGTACTCCTCCAGTTCTCAGTTATCTAAGTAGCTAGAATTGCAGGTGTGAGCCACCAGCACCTGACTCATCCCTTCTTTATAAGAAACAATTTGAAATTGTATTTCATGACAATGTCTATATAAAAAGTGATTACATTGATATAGTATGTTAAAATGTTTTCTTCAACCAAAAAATTCAAACCCTAGGACCCCTCCCCTCAAAAAAAAGGAAGAAGGCATGACGTTGGCTTGTGACAGAGACTTGCTCTACCTTCACCTCTCCACCTTGAAATAACCAGGGTATCCTCCCTCCCCACAGGAGTAGCAGAAAGTGCACTGAGTTGGAAGTGAATGCTGGGCTCTAGGTTGAGCCCTGTCCCTGACCCTTGCAGCAGGACCTTGGACAGTTGCTCTGTCCCCTCCTCTGCAGCATGCCATCAGCGAGGTGATTGGCAGGTGTATTTCAGATCTGAGAATCATCCTTTCTCCCAACAGTGCCAGCTATAATACCGAAGTGATCTGATTTTGTAATGAAGAGATTTGTGTTCTTTAACTGGGAAGGAAGGAAGGAAGAAAGGAAGGCAGGAAGGCAGGGAGGGAGGGAGGGAGAGAGGGAGGGAGGGAGGGAAGGAGGGAGGGAAGGAGGGAGGGAGGGAAGACAGGTAGAAGAGAGAAAGGAGGAAGAATGGGAGGAAGAGGGAGGGATAAAAGGGGAAAATGTGGGAGGGAAGCAAGGGAAAATGGACTAGTGGGTTTGGAGCTGTCACTGGGGACTTGTGTTAGCATTATTTGCTGTACAGAGGTACAAAGGTGGGCAGCTCAGAAGAGGGAAGATGTCCTCTGCTTGGAGGACTGAAGAGGCTGTGAGCTTAAGGCTCACCGTCTCATGCCTGCTAAAGACCTGCATGGGCAGTGGGACTGCCTAGGCTGGAGAGACAGACCAGAGGGGCACTGAAAAGAAGAGAGTGACAGGTAGGTGACTGGCTGGATTGGAGAAGGAAAGAACATGGAGACAGGAAGGGAGCAGGAAACTATGTTTCTTGGACTGGAGGACCAGGCAAATGGTATGTCATTAACAGGAGAAAGGCTGTGGAGAATGAGGCCTTCTTTGACATGCTTGAACTTCAAATGGGCTGAACAGCCAAAGAAAGACATCTTGGAACAAAGATCTGGCATCCATTTAGGACGACAAGTGGAGTTGGAAGCTTTAAGTAGGAGTTTCTGAAGGATAACAAATAGACACCGTAGCTGATGCCAGCACTAATCGATCCTTACTCCATGCCTGGAGCACAAGATGGAGCACGGCACCCAGCTCAGGGAGAGAGTGCTGTTTGATTAGTAATGCCTGCCATGGACGTGGGAGAGTACAGAGGTATGTATCACATACTTGTCTTTGTAAGTTAAGAGTGTGTGTTTTTTTGTATTTTAAGGAAAGGCAAAGAGTGAATAGCACACAGTGAAAATATATGTGTGTGGGTTGGGCGCTAGTGGCTTATACCTATGATCGTAGCTACTCAATATATGAGGATGTTGGCTTGAAGCCAGCCTGGGCAGTTAAGTCCACGAGACACTTATCTCCATTTAACCACTAAAAAGCCAAAAGTGGAGATTTGGCTCAAGAACTGCCAGCCTCAAGCAAAAAAAGTAAAGAAACATTGCCCAGGCCCTGAGTTCACACTGCCCATCCCCCTCCCTCTCCCCCTCCCACCCTGGCTCCCCATCCCATGTGTGTGTGATTTTCATCTACTACCCCAAGGGGGAGGGTGAAAAGAGAAATCGATGAAGGTCAGAGAAGATGCCTGGGGCTGGACTCAGGAATCTGCTGGATTAAATGTCTCTGAATGAGTAAAGGTTCCTAAGTGGACAATGGAATGATCTGGAAGTCTTTACTTGCTCCTACATCCTGAAGGTCCTACCATGGAGTTTTGTGGGGTTGTGATCATGGCCTCACAGAGAGTTCCCTGCAGAATACCAGGAACTGCCACTCTTACGAGCTGCGCTGTCAACAGCATCCGTCCTGCTGACCTCAGAGAAGGCGCAGCCCACCACAGAAGAGCTGAGTGCACACAGCATCCCCCTCCAGCTCCACCCCCGGGCCTCAGGGACATTGGAGACCATGACAGATCTGTGCTCACTGTCTTTGGAGATTCATGCTCTGGAGGTGTCTGGTATTCTGGAAAGAAGACGCAAATACTTGTTTCAGAGTGGGTGTTAAAGGAGGACTGTGCAGGCTTTAGTCTTTTCTCTCATGAGTAACAAATAAGAAAGAACCTGACATGAATGAAGAGGCTGCCATGTGCCCAGCGTGGTGGGTGGCCCTTTAATGTTTAGCTGTCACCACTTTCTTGCCCGGCTGCTGCTGATGCCTTGTGTGACACTGAGGATCAGAGAGGATGAGTAATGTCCCCTGTTAGGCAATGAATGCAAAGAGAGACTTGAATCAGATCTCCAAGTCTCCCTTTCCCTTTTCTCAGGGAAAGACCAGCTCCCTTTCTGCCTTCAGCTCTGAAGAAGCCATGCTCCCACCGGACCTGTGTGCTAGAGCCTTCACTGACTGAATTAGAGGTGGGTGAGCTGTCCAGAATACCCATGGTTGGGGGCTCCTTCCTTCGTGCCTCATTCCACACACATTCCAAGCCAGAGCCTCCAATCTCATTGACCCAGGATCCCAGCCTGTCAAATGCATGGCTCCCCATAAACGTGGGATGTAGGCTTGGTCCAGCAGCCTTCAGCATCAACCATCAGTGCTGGACAAGGATGGAGGAGGGAGCCAAACTAGAACCCAGGCTGTCTCTCAAAAACCAGGCCAAGTGACCAGAGTGCTCTGAGGAGCCAATCATGTGCTCTAGAGTCCAGCTACCTTTCCAGCAACCTGGGATTGGGAGAGCAGCCCTGAGGATCTAATCCTGGATAATAAGTTGCAGAAATTTAGAAATCAAGCCCTTCAGATATCCTCTGACTCAGTAGTTTTAAACTATGGATGAATATCAAAATCACTAGGCAAACCCATGGACTCTGCTGGAAGAATGGAAAAAAATGGCTTAGCCAGTTTGGAAAACAGCCTGAAGGTTCTCTGAAACTTAAAAGCAGAATCACATAGGACCTAACACAATTTTGCTCTTAGAAATAAGTATTACTCAAGAGAACTAAGTGGAAGTACATTCATATAAAAATCTGTACATGGATACGCATAGCAGAATTATTCATGATCAGCCAAAGGTAGAACCAATCGAAAAGTCCATCAACTGACAAATACATAAAATGTGGGACATCCATACTGTGAAAAATTATGTAGCTATGATACCCTGCACGAACTCTGAGATCATGACTATTCCCTGGAAGAAGCCAGACACCAGAGTTCACGTGTTATATGATTCCTTGTACGTGAAATGTTTGAGACAGACTTGATTAGTGGTTATGAAGGACTGGAGAGGATGTGAGGAAATGAGTGACTGACTGACTGCTAATACTAGTACTAAGCCTCTTTGAGGAGGAATGAAAATGTTCCACAATCAGACTGTAGCCATGGTTGTGAAAATACTAGAAAACATCAAGTTGTGCAATTTGGTGAATTGTATGGCACAGGAAATAGGTCAAAATAGAGCTGATTTTTAAAACCCTAGGGGAGATTTTGGGAAGTATCCATGCAGGCCCTACTCTGCACCAATAATATTGTCATCCATCTCTAAAGCCAACCTGTGGCCAGAGCTGAGAATGTCTGCCCTTCTCATCTTGCACATAGTCCCACTATCGGAAGTGAGGTGAACAGGTCATGCTGTCAGAAACTAGCTGAGCCTGGGACACAGTCCAGGACTCCCTCCTCCCTGCCCGCCACCCTAAGTGCTGTCCATCTGCTACATCTTTCCATCTGTCCTTGCTTCTATTTAAGGCAGCAAAATGCATTTGTCAGGAAAATCCAAGTCCTCCTTAGAACCTCCAGGCTGTGACATCCTTGTATGCCCAACCACACATCTTGGCTTCCCAGCCATGCAGGAAGCACTGTAGGAACAGAGACTTCCACGTGCATTTGGTTCCCTGCTAAGAAATATGCTGAG